TTATCTCTTAATTAACGTTGATTCATCTTTTAATCATTGAATTATGATTCTTTTAATTCAACTTTAGCCTCTCGTCAAAACAACACCCTAATCTAACACTTAGACTAAGACTTATTCGCGATTAATATAATTTAAAAAGTTTAATTAGGTAAATTGATATTATTATTAATCAGAGATACGTAAACAAATTGATCCAAAAACGCTTTAGTTTGGTAGAAAATCAAAACTTGCGTTGAAATTTGCACGTAATAATTAATTCAAAAGTAGATTTTCACATGATAATCAACGTTGATGTGTAAGCATGCAAAGTTAACTAGAATTACATCTTGGATTAAGCAAAACAATATGCGAAATTATGAGTTAATACTAACGGTGATTTGAAATGGAGTTATCAGAAATTATTATTTGGGGTAAATAAATCATGATATAGATTTGGGAAAAATATAAATTACGGTATATATACACACACACACATAAATTACATAATAAATTCTATCACTCTTTTTTCATAAAAATGTGATGCATGTGTATAGTTACAATTAATCCGTCGTACTCGGAATATAGAATAAAAAAAATCTTTAAACTTAAAAACCATTTTCATATGATTAAGAAAAAGAGATGAGTTTATTTCGCAAGAAACAAAATAATTTCCTCATAACAAAAAAAAAAGATAGCATTACATTGGTTTTTGTTAGGTGAAAGAGCACTAACAGTGTAGACCGATGATTCCTCTTTTCTATGGGTTCATAGAAAATCTCGGTCGGTCTAAATTAAAGGTTATTTAAGGACAAACTTTTGGACCGTTTTTTAAATAAGATAATAATAATAATAGTAGTAAATCTAAAATGGATAAACATAGAAATTTCTTTAAACCGATGTGTTGAATTGAAGTATGGTTCGGGCCCCATGGGATAGAGGTTTTCCATATACGAGTCTTTGAAAATTTAGAAAGACATTCTTTTGGATTAGGGTTTTCCAATGTCCGTCCACCCTTATAATTATGATTATTTAACGCGTTGTTTTGTTTTCCACGTATGTGATGCGTAAAGAATTTTACTACAAGTAAATAAAAAAACTTGTTATTTAATTCTCGACACTTTACTTATGTTTTCAAGTGCTATTTTACGATTCACAACGATAACAAAGCAAATATTGAAAAGAAGAATATTATCAATGCAAATTTAGAATATATATTCAGACTATGTTAAATTATAATAAAAAAAAATTCGATTGGGTTTGTAGATTCGATTATTTCTAAAGTCTTAGGTTTCCCTTGAATCAGTCAGTTTCTACTGATTCATCTATTCTGTGTGGTTTGTCGGTTACTGTATAGAGATTGAAGATTTACTATTCGAGATGATGTCCGACCTGCGGGGCCGAACGATGTTCGGTATAACGGGATGTGAGATAGGTTCCCACCGTTACAAAAAAAAAAAAAAAAATCGATTGAATTCGTCTTTTGTCTCTCTCCTTTTGGTTTTATAAACTTTTCAATACCTGTTCCGGTCGTCCCTATAACCTAATTTAGAAAATTGTGTAGTCCCAAAACTGTACTATATGCATGTATCATAAACGAGTGTTGCTAAATATAGATACAAATTCAAAACACTTCACGTAATATGTGCCAATAGTCAACGGCTAATATAATCATGTAGGATCAACGTCGGTCCTCAAATGTATATTCTTATCGTGTTATGTTTGATAAAATCACTTTTCTATTTCCGTCACCTTTCATTTCGCCCTTTTCCCTCATAATTGGGTCACTTTTTTTTTTGCATGTATATATATAATAAAAATTCCATGCAATATGCAAGAAAAAATTATCATTTTAAGATAAATTTAGCTAACGTGTTTTTTTTTTATAAAAAAGTTTCACATAAATATGATCCGTGTAAGGCATCTACATATATGAGATATTCGGTGTCATTGATATCGATTTCAATCATTTCGAATTTTTCGGTCAAATTGCATAGGGCAATTAAAATATGATATATATTGACTATCTAAGACATATTCAGTAGACTAATACTCAAAATTAGATGTAAAATTTCGGATTCCCCTCTCCATGTCTCTAATTATGTAATTATATTCTTTTCCGAGTTTAAATTTTAAATTGGGGAGGAGAACGCAAATTCTAATGATATGAATTATTTTCAACCTCAGAATTAGTTTGGACTTGGTACATGGCATTCTCAAAAGAAAAAACTATGTAATTGTATTTGGTTGCTAATCTAAAATATCATGCGTTGAATAGGTCACGATAAAAGCATATTGGGTTAGGGAAATGTAAGAAAACGGAAGGATAGTCGCGTACCGATTCAGTCGATCTTTTCTTTGGTTGAAATCACAGTCTTCAAATACTCTGGACAATGGTCGGAAACCGGCTACCAGAGTCGGAATCGCAGATTCACAACCCAAATGCTACTCACCAAAACTGATTCACGTTTTCTTTTATGATGTTTTCTGCATCTCCATTTGTCATATAGAACCTATACTTTTATAGGATTCAAGCGGTGTTTATGCAAGAGACACAACCGGTACAATGGTTATATCCTACGGTTATGTCTTTTCTCACATACACCCTTTCACCGGGTGTTTCAACCGTCACTATAAAACAGAATTAACCTCAATAGCTAACAATTTTGAGTCTCTTAAACCATACAAGCGATGAAATACTCTGCAGCAAAGGTAAACTCCACAGCCAAAACGAGATGCTTAGTGCAAAGGGAAGAAAATCAACAACAACAACAACAATAGAAACCCAACAAGCATACGATTTATTACAGGCTCAGGTGCTTTACATAAGTACAAGAAACCTAATCAAGAACATTGTCTACAGCAAGATCGAAGATTTCAGACAAAGTTGGGGACTTTGGGAAAAACCCAGATGAGATTGTACCTTCGTAAGCCGGTTTACATATTCTTCCGCACTCGGACCGGTCTCCAGAATGTTTTCGTCCTGGAACAGAACCTGACTCTGAGACTGCGAGTTAGTGATATCAGAGAGCCTCTTCCTCACCATGTAACCAAAAGACGATCTTTTCGACATCTTCCACGTTGGTTATATGATCCGAGAAACACTGAACTGAAGGAAATGGTGTAAACCCAAGTGAATGTTCGAGAGTTTTGTTACGTTACGTGACCTAATTGAAAATACTAAACCATTGGGATTTGAATGCAAAAGTGAAATGATTCTGTGGGAAAAAAAAGGAGTGATCTTGATGGAATTGAAGAACCTCTTGGTCTTGAATAAAGGGAAAAAAGTTAAAACAAAGGAAAATCGAGAGATAAAAGGGGCAGAACTAGAGGGAATTGCAAAAGAAGAGAAAGCGAAAGAGCCAACGTTTGAAAAGTAGGTTCGGAGTATTAACGGTAGTCCGAAGCAAATGCTCACAAAAGGAGGTTAGAATTTTCCGATACAAATTATTTATTTTGACAGCTTCCAAATCTCTACACAAAACATGAGAATCAGTAGAAATTTCTACCAAATCAGAAAACGTCGATATGTCTCCGTTAACGCTCGATGACGTGTCATGCCACGTAATATACTTATGCCCTTTACCATTTGTCATCTTCGACATTCTCCTCTTTCCCCTTTGTTCTCCTCTTCGATCTTCGTTCTCCCTAAATTAAACAATTCATTTCGGTGGAAACACAATGAGCCAAAACGAATCCATGTGAAAATCCTACGAGAAGACAAATCAACACAGAGAAACCAAACAGATTATTTGCATTCGAACTAAGAAAGCTTCTGTCCTCTCCTCTATGTTCATGTTGTCTTCTCTGTTCCCGACAACGAATCTCCTATTGTCGACAGCTGAGCAAGCTTCGAACAGGTCACCAAACCCGACGGGGTGAAGAAGGGAGCTAGACGAAGATCGAAGATGACAAAAGGAAAGGGGTTTTGTGCCCTAAAAGCCCAATTCTTTTTTTTTTTTAATTAAGTTTTTTTCTTGTTTCAGATTTAAAAAAAAACTGACGTGGCATAAGTATATGACATAGAAATATTTTATAAGTCTATATGTCTATAAACCCAATCTGAAATATTTTTAGATATATATTATCAAAGTTAACAAAGTGCACTAAACTACTAAAAAAAAAATGGCATTCGTCATCGCATATTTGAGATGCATCTATTTTCAACTGGATTTAGTTGATAATTTTGAGATAGAGTGGGCCAATTTAAGAATTATCTAAATATATAAGGCTATATAACAAATAAAGAAAGTAAAGTTTGGATCCTTCTGGGCCTTGATCAATAAGCCCAATATCACTTATATGGGCTTTTGAATTTTTCCCTTGATTTCAGAAAAAAAAAAGGTGAACAAAAAATATAATTTTGAGATTTTCTTGTCCTCACCTCATTGGATGATCGAACTCACATAATAATCTTGAATTTTTTTATTGTTTTAAAATATCGAATATTATATACACCAAATAAAAAGAAATTTTCCAATGTAAGTATTTTATTTTTCTAACAAGAGATGACTAAATTGTTCGCGCATGTGAGGTGGGCTAATTAGTCAAAAAAAAAATTCTAAAAGTACAAAAATTTCTCCCAAAGGTCAGACTAATTTCACAAAAATGCCACGGAAATTCCTTAATTTCCCACAAAAAGCCAAAACATCTTACTTTTATTAATTCATCGTTTTAAAGTTAATATTAGCTGAAATTCAAATGAAAGATCTCCTGTTCTAACATTTTAAACTATAACTATATTAAACAAACCAATCAGATGAATGATTTATAATTATCCCTAATGGATGTAAATATAAATTGCTTAAAACGACTGGTGTACCGTATTATCAAATTTGTAATTCAGCTTAATTATTTTTGGGGCTTAATCATTTTCATTGTGTAAAACTTATATTTATAAAGATTTGATATATTCAATTTAATATATGTGTTAGTTCTATTCAAGTCAGATTTGATTTATAACGAAAAAAATATAACTAATCAATTTAATAATTTTATTAATTTAATTTAATTTTTGCCCCATTAGGTGAAACATCAACAATTGGATACATCACTTGAGAAGGTAATAGTACAAAAGTTCTTACTAGAATATAATTTTCTGAAGTATTTGTGAATATATTTTTCCAAAATGGCTTTAATTGTTTTTAATTTAATTTTCAAAAGGACAAAGGTCAGAAATGGACAAATACGATGTCGTTTCACGTGACTTCGCTTTTAACGTGGGACAAAAACGCGTGGTTTGTTTCGTCTGTTTTCTACGGCCTGTTTTGTCCTTTTTTTTTCATTGGACAAAAACCAAACCTTTTGTTTCCCGGTTTCGCATAAATTATTATTTTTAACTATAATTAAATAAAACAAAAATCACAAATTCTAATGCCAATGTTTTATAAATTATTTACTTATTTACTCTAGTCCTGAAATGTATATTGATTAGCAATTTAACCGTTAGATTTTTTTTTATTTGTTTAGCTGCCATAAGTTGGTATACTCTCTTTAATATTTATAATTTGAGTTATCATACGAGGGTTTCTTTTCTTTTTTTTTTAATAATATTTTTATAGTTTATTTAGAATGTCTACAATAAACAATCATATAAAGGAAAATTTAAGAAGGGTACAAATTATATATTGATATCCGACTTTTTCTTTGCTCTTGCATGTGCGTGCCTAAATAATTTTATAAAACTTTATACAATATGATGTATAATATAACGTGTTAAATGTTAAATTACTCATAAGATCATATTATAGTATTATGGTAAACTCTAAAATTTCGTTTCATTTATATATCCTATTTAATGAAGAGGAGCTTTGGTGCACCGGTAAAGGTGTTGCCGTTGTGACCTATAGGTCACGGGTTCGAGTTCTGGCGCACCGGTGAAGAAAAACAGCCTCTTGCAGATATTTCTGCAATGTAAGGCTTGTCTACAATACACTTTTATGGTGGGATCATTTCCCGAGACTCCGTTCAACGGGGACGCTTTGTGCACCGGTCTGTTTTTATATATCCTATTAAATGTATATTTATTTTGTGCGATAAGAACTTATACAAACGCATATATTTATATTTTGTCGTTATTTATTTTACATGATTGGGATTTTAATGAAAAGGTTATAATGAAACGAACTTACTAAAAAAATCGATTAATTGAATTGATTAACAAATATGACTGTGATTAATTATAGACTTAATTTACTACTTATTTCTTCTCTATTTCTATGGTTTTTATATTCTCCATATTCAATTTCCACACTAGTTCCATGCTATATATAGTCTTTTAATATAAAACCTTCCTTAACGTTGGAAATCATTTTAAATTCAAACTAATCATAACTTATTGAACTATAAGTCACATGGCTTTGTCCATAAATACCACGAAACTAAGTCAATATTATCTCAAATGATAACTAGAAATCATTCTATAGTCAAATAGTAATAGATAAAATTACATGAATAGCTAAAATTATTAGAAAATACGATGAATAATGCTATTTTACAAGATTTTTTTTGTTCATATACGGTATTTATATATCAAAACTTAAAATTTAAAATATAAAAATACTCATTTTTATTGGTGATTAATAAAATCCGAAGATAATCTTCTAATGATATTCTCAATTATATCAATTAATTTTATCTACCAAATGCTCAATTTTCAATATTAAAATTCAGTTAATTAAAAACTGAACCAATCACATTAAACATATCGTTAATATACTAAATTTCTCAAACTTTGAAACACACAACTTATTTTCATATCGATTAATTAATTTATTGATTTGTCCTTTTAATCGAAGGTATCTTAGGACAAAACCGTTAATTATCATAGCCTTCTTTTGGAATTAAATTACACAGAAAAATCAAAATATGGAATTTCTTTCGAAGATTTTCTCCTTTAAATTTTTTTCTTATTTAATTTTTTTATTATTGAGAACTTTTGTAATAATGACTGCGTGGGATTCTAAAAGATCAAGAAACATGATACTTGGAATTGACGACCCACCAAAAGGTCCATATATGTAGGCTACCTATCCATTTTTCTTTACAAATAAATAAAAAAAAAACCTTATAAATAATTTTACGCTAATATGGACCCACACGTTTTCTTATTTATTTTATTTAAATTAAATAAAAGGTTTGTATAATAAAGTAATTTTTATTTTGGACCCACTACGGACGGACGAATAAAATCTCGGTGCACAAAACATGAAAAAGTTCCCATCAGTTAAATTTCACATCCTTTAATTATTATTATTATTATTAGACGGTAATACTCCACATTTAATTTACTTTTAACTTTTCTTTAATTTTTGGTTTTCTCTTTTATCTGTTCTCGTATGGAAATTTTGGATTTATTTGTCAATATTTTACATGTAAGTTGAAATCTCATTGATGTTTTTGTTTTAATTTGCTCAATTCTTTTAATGAGTCACATTATTTGAGCTTCATTTTTTAAATAAATTGTTCATTTTATATATAAGATATTCGTAATTTGATTAATTTTTGTATTTACAAATATCACCACAATATATTATACTGACAGACAATCATCTTACAAAATTTTGTTCCATAACTATGTAATCTTTCATCTACAATAAAATATAAATCACACAAAAAAAATTAAAACACGATTAAACTATCTTCACTTAATTATAATAATTCATGTATTTTTTTAGAATGATTTTTTTTTACGTGGAGTTGCAATGCTTAATCTCAATAACATGTCATTTTTTTCCCTTTGTCTATCAATCGGATGTAACATATATATATAGAGACACAAAATAAAGTAACATATAAACCCTTTGAGATGATCCGAAAGATATATAGTCATGTATACACAAATATATATATATATATATATATATATATATATATATATATATATGTATAGGTTGTATCACATGATACTCTCAAAGGGCATTCTAAGGAATCAAATCCTCTTTAACTGTCAAAACCGAAAATTCGGTTAGTTTCTTTCTCTTTGTGTCTTTATGCTAAGATTCACTCAGAACTATATTTGATTAATTGCTCTCTTTATTTCATCATTAGAAATTAAAATTGGCCGACAAAATATGCGATTGGTTTCCTTAATGAATTAAGGTTCTTAATTGGATAAAACGCACACAAATTTGTTTCCTTCATAATTACATTGAAAATATAAGCAAAGCATGTCTCTTGTCTATCCTGCATATATATGTGTATGTATGTGTGTATGTTCCTAGTTTATGGCGCTGAACCACTCCTGCAACCCATGAATCCATGTTGTGTCTATCGCCAGCAAGATCATGGTCGTATCAGGCATTACTAGATTTTGGATAATGTGGGCCATCATTATATATACACGATGTATATATGTGTGTGTATATATTATAGTGTAACACTCTAGTATTCAAGAGAATTCAATGTATTTGAAATCATAAAACGTATATATTTCAAATGATATCGGTTTGTTTAACTATATAAAACGTATTAATACTCATTTAAGCTTTGTAAATATATATACATGAAATATATAAATATTATCGTTTAGGTTAGGAAATATTATTGTGGAGGTATATAGTATTGATATACATAATATCTGTAAATAATACTCATTTAAGCTTTGTAAATATATATACATGAAATATATAAATATTATCGTTTAGGTTAGGAAATATTTTTTTTTAAGTTACGAACTCCATGTGTAACTTTTTTTTTTGTATAACAGTAAAAAAATATATGGATTTATATAACAATACTTACTACTAAACAAGAAACTTCAAGATTAATCCAAATAATTTTATCATTGGATCAATATAATAAGAAATGGGCGTAAAAATACACGTATAAGATATACACATTAATAAATACAAAACAATTTCATCTTAAATAACACATATCGGAGGGCCACGTGGACCAATGGACATGAAGCTTTGTCGTGATGTTTTTTTTTTGCTTGCAAGAGTTCGACTCTTGTCTTACATAGACTAAAATTAAACAAGTTTGCATCGTGATTAAGAAAATAACTAATCATATACTAAATATATACACACACACACACACATATATATATATATATCCGTGATTTTGTGCGTGTATTATTTCCTTTCAAAGATTGTGGAGTTATTATCGCACAAAAAAGAATAAAAATTAAAGATGCAACATAAAAAAGGTTGCTTAACATGCTCTTAGGTTAATGTTGGTAAAAGAGACCTTGAAATGATATATCTTGTCTCCCTCCTTTTGTTACATGTGAATACCTTTATATACAAAATCCATACACACGTATATACATATATATGTATGCTATGCATATATATTTTATTCTAGAAGAGGAGAGAGACCCCTTTAGCCAAATTTTATTATTAAGATAACAATCATCATAATTAGTTTAAATACCATATGATACCCATTATGATGACCATCATGATTGTAATTATTATGATGTCATCACATGCCGCATGAACCAAAAATAGAGATATTTATTTTCCTTGATTTACTTCCAATTGGGGGAAAAGTTATTTGCTCTCCTCCTTTTTCCGCAGTACATATTTTTTTTTTACAAATACTAAAAAATAATTTATATTTTTTTCTTGTTTTTATACGCAATATGTTCATTGCATTGATCCTTTTTAGTAAACACTAATACTTTGTGATATCGTTTATTCTAATATTTTCGAATCTGGAAATATGAAAACATTCAATTATCTTCACAGATAAATGTTAATGTCCAAATCGTTCGGATTTATATTCTAATAAAAATTTATAATATTTTTAGATAAAAATGTCTTGATTTTTTTTAATTAGTAAGAGACTTATAGTTCAAAAAGGGGTTCCATCAATTTTCTTTTGGGAGCGGGAAAAAATATTATTTGTGCGAAATGTTTTGTTTACCGGCTTCTTTTTTCTGACAATGGAATCCACGTAACATTTGACTACATGCCTCTCTCTCTCTCTCTCTCTCTCTCTCTATATATATATATATATATATATATATATATATATATATATATATATATATTTGATAAAAGTCTATATATATATTTTTTATATATATACATGCAAAATTGCAAGAAATTTTATAACTTGAAATGTTAGCTTGCAGTAAACTAACAAAAAAATTTATTAATTTCAATGGTGAATATTTATAAAAGAATCCGAGCGTATGAGTGAAGAAAAAAAAATTATTTTTAAAAAAAGTTCGTTACAAAACTGTAAAAGAAAATTTTAGAAAATGTATCAACTAACGTCCTCATTGGTCAGATTTTTTTTTTGGTACGAATGTGATTGTATCATTGGTCAGAATTTTAGTGTAATGACCGCATAAGAACAAAAACACACTCTATATATATATATATATATATATATATATATATATATATATATATTTGATAAAAGTCTATATATATATTTTTTATATATATACATGCAAAATTGCAAGAAATTTTATAACTTGAAATGTTAGCTTGCAGTAAACTAACAAAAAAATTTATTAATTTCAATGGTGAATATTTATAAAAGAATCCGAGCGTATGAGTGAAGAAAAAAAAATTATTTTTAAAAAAAGTTCGTTACAAAACTGTAAAAGAAAATTTTAGAAAATGTATCAACTAACGTCCTCATTGGTCAGATTTTTTTTTTGGTACGAATGTGATTGTATCATTGGTCAGAATTTTAGTGTAATGACCGCATAAGAACATATATATATATATTAGAGATGACAAAATAAAAGTAATGTGGAACATATATAGTACCTCTCTAACTAAAGCAGCACCAAATAAATTTTTAGTCTAAATGCTTTTCTCATATTGGTTTATAATATATGATCATAATTTGTACTAAACATTATTTTATGCTTATAGAGATGTACTCAATACTCTTTCATAGTGAGCCACGCTCTTTACGTAAGGTAATATGAATATTTTGATCTTAAATATTGAAAAAATGATCGTTTAACCGAGTTTATTCCATTAATTAATAATATTACCGAATCGAACCGACCGGTTAAGCAAGTTGATTACGTTTTTCGGAAGACGCGTTTTGTTTTTAGAACCGCAGTAAATTGATAACTAGGCTGCATGCATATACTATATGACACGAGGGAATGGATTATTTTATGTGACATGCACATGCGTGTAGATTCCCACGTAAACGATGCAGGTGTAAATTTGTCAGCATTTATATACATGATGTAATGATGCGGACTATATATATATATATATATATATCAAAGACATGGGCTATTTATTAATTTGATCAAAACATTTCTCCGTCTACCAAAATTTGTAGCCGATTTTACTAAAAAATAAATTACATTAAAGTCACTCGTTATACTTTTTTGGATGAACGTTTATACATACATACATACATACATATATATATATATATATATTGAGATATTTTCATGTATATATATACACATATATAATGTATGTGTATAATTCTTTTAAGAGAAAAACGAGAAGAGGCTCAAAAGCATTGGATCTCCCGCTCTTCTCGGTGAAACAAGAAAGTCATGGTTCGTTTTTCTTGGAAAAAGACAAAAAAATGAAATGGCATCGCAAGAAAACCGAAGGAAGAAAACAAAAAACTGCTGTGCGAGACCAAGTAGACTACGGTAATGGCTTTGCACCAAACCCTAGTTGTGGTGAAAGAATATTAGAAGATTCCAATAAAAAGGAAAAACCAAAAAAAAAAAAACAAATTCCAATCTCAAGATCTAAAAAATACTAATTGCATTATATATTGTAAGAGAAAATATTCGGATTGAATATCAAAATAGTTTAGGAAAATACGAAGGAGTTTTAACTTTTCTAAAATATTCAATTAATACTTTTAGTTATTCACATACATATTCAGATCATTTTTGTGGCTACATCTTCAAAAAAATAACCATATTCATTAATTTATCTATTTCAGTTCACACTAAAAAATATATATTCATGATATTAATTTATTATAGTAAAATGTATGCTTTAATTAGGTTGAACACGTTCAAACTAATAAAATCATAGTTTTTTTTTGTAATTTTCGATTGTTATAAAACAATATTATTTATACCATGTGGCGTAAAAATCCCAAGACATATAAATAAGAATATTTTCAAGTTGATCGAATATTAGTATTACAATGAAATTATTAAATTATAGATTTTTTTTGGGGCGTTGGAGCCAAGTCGGATATTGAATAGTAATAACATGAAGGCTCCGTGTCAAGAGGTTTTTTTACTACTTATATCGCCTCCGAGAACTCCATTCCATAAAACTCACTCACTCACTCCCTCTCTCTCTCCCTCTCTCTCTCTCTCTCTCTCTCTCTCTCTCTCTCTCTCATTGCATTTGGATAATCCCAAAGTTTAAGCTTTAGTGATTTAGGATTATAATGGATAACCAGAGCAATGCTCTTCTTAGCTGGGCTTACTACTCCCATGGAAAGGTACTCAATTTTTTTTTTTTTTGCATTTTCCTCACTTGGTTTCCCTCTGTTTCTTGATTTTCCGTCCAATTGATGGATAATGTTTGTCCAGGGTCTGAAATTTCTTGCTGGGTCTTGTGTTTTTCTTGGTTTGTTCTTCACGGGGAACCATGGATCTTGACTCAGTCTTTCCCCTCTTCCTTGTTGTTTTTCTCCGTGACAAACCCTAATTTGGACCTAGTTGCGGATTTTCATCTTGATTTTGCATAATGGTAGTCTGAATCTGCAATTGGGTGGCTAATTCTTGGTGGGTTTTAGTTTATCTTTACGATTTAGCTGAAAAGATTGGATTTTTACTACATCCGCCCTGAAGTCGAACTTAAATTTTTGCTTTTTACCTTAATTTTCCGTAATGGGTGTCCTTGTTTTGCTACTGAGCAACCGATTCTTACGGTTTTTTTTCAAAGCTTTTATGATTATCGCGTAGAAAAGGATAAGGTTTCAGATGCATTCTGTGCGTGTGGACGAGTTCCTCTGTTTTGATGTCTGATCCTTCCTGGAATTTTGTTTGTTTTTTGTTTTCAGACAACGGAAGAACTAAGACAGACACTTCTGTACACTACACTGGAGCTGGATCAGACAAGACTGGATGCTCAGGAGGAATTGAGGAAGAGAGATGAACAGTTGATTCATCTCAAAGATGTTCTTACCAAAACCATTAAAGAAAGAGATGAAGCACTCGAGAAATGCCAACGTCTCATCTATGACAACCTCTTGCTCCAACAGCAACAGCAACAGCAGAAGCAGAGCCAGAAGCAGAAGCGTATCACTCCTCCATTGTCAGGAGCTTCAAGCATCGAAGACGAACAACTTCAGCCACAGCAGCAACAGCGGCAGCAGCAGCAGCAGCGACAGCTGGGATCCAACAAGAGCTTCTCATCATCGGATTGCGAAGAGAGCATCGTTTCACCCACTGTGATTGATCCGGTTGAGGTCGCGGAAACTGAGATCATGCCCTCGCTATTGCCGGAGAAGCCATTGCCGGAAAAGGGCAAGCTTTTACAGGCTGTTCTCAAAGCAGGTCCTCTGCTTCAGACACTCCTCTTAGCCGGTCCGTTGCCACAGTGGCGTCACCCTCCGCCGCCCCTCGAGACCTTCGAGATCCCTCCGGTGACGGTTCCTCCGCCTCCGACACAGTTTCAAGGTCCAATTGTCAACAATGGCTGTGGCAAATTCAACAGGAAAAGGGTATTCTCAGATGGGTCATATTCACCTGCAGAGACAAAGTATCAGAAAGTTCTTCTTCATTGACCAGAAATTCAGACAACAACAGCTGCTGAAAAACCCTAGCAACTGATCTTTATCCTCACTCAAGCAGTAGTACTAAATAGCCTCTAATATATACTACATATATATATACACACCAGTCACTTTCAGTATTAGTCTCGTTTAGGGTTCTAGTGAGAGTGATGATCTTTCTAGTCAGTGTTTTTTTGTACATGGGGCTTGATTTTTGATCTTTTAACCCTTTTTTTCCCCGGGTGATCGATCAGGTCGTCAACTGTGGAAACGATTGTCAGATCAGAGATGGTCACAAGTGATTTAGGGTTTTAAGATTTTGAGTGATGGGGGAAGAAAGGCGAATCCAAAAGCTCCCCTGGTTTTAACTCTAAACCGAAGAAAAGAGTTACTGCTAAGTGAGAGCTTGCTCTGTGTCACAAGTGATTTAGGGTTTTAAGATTTTGAGTGATGGGGGAAGAAAGGCGAATCCAAAAGCTCCCCTGGTTTTAACTCTAAACCGAAGAAAAGAGTTACTGCTAAGTGAGAGCTTGCTCTGTTTTTTTTTTTTTTTTTTTTACTTTTTACTCATTTTCCCTCTTTTTTTTTTTTGTCTCTTTTGCTTTTACCCCAGACCCAATTTCACATTCATGTTTTGGCCCCATGATGTGAAGTGACAATTAGGGTTTCATTTTATGGTTGTTCTTCATTTTTACCCAAACATCATTTGGGAAATATTGTGTAAACTCTAAAGTTTGGAGTTTAAGAAGCATAGTAGTTCTATGAATTTTATTATTATTATTATTATTACTATTATTTATTATCGCTATCAATGCATTGGGGTTTGTTGGATTGTGTTCTGGTGTGTGATTTGCAATTGTGAAATTTTGTAGAAGTTTGAAAAAAAATATATGGAATCTGGATTTTTAATGAAAAATAGTTTTCATGAAATATTTAATTTGATAATATTGTTTTGGGTGAGAAGTTGTTGGGTAAGGCCAACCACCAGAAGGTCCAAAGAGCCTTGCTTTGTCGGGTCGGGTGGGCGTGGGTCCTCTAAATCTGGACCCGGATCTTCTGTCCCTATGTAACATAATATTTATATTATTAAATTTATAATGATACATATATATATAATATCTTTATTTAACTAAACCTCCTTTGATTAAGTAAATGAGAATTTTCAGATTTACCATGAAAATTTTAGTTTTCACACGAATGAATCGTTATATTATTAAAAAATTTATCAAATAAAATGTGTTAGGCAAAGAAATTAGACGCTTGATGTGGGGAAGAACGAACTTTCCATGCGTACCATCAATATCATTGAGATGGGTCGTTTTCAATTGTGCAATAATTGTAGTGTAATCATATATAGAAAATTAAAAAATTGAAAATAAATTATATTAGCTAAGAGTGAACCGTTTTAATTTATTTGTGTACATGGGGGGTATTTAAGTATATAGTTCATAATAATAATAATTGCTTGTTTTGAAAGATAACGTAATCGTACACTTAATTATGTACAAACACTATTAATAATTGGCCTTATCCTTAAAGCAAAGTATTAAAAAGCAAAGGCTAATTGCCATTTTCTTAAAACGAAACTGTACTGAAATTGCTTTTACAGACAATAAAATTCTCCATCGTACAAATTGCGCTCTTTACGAAATAAAAGGTATTTGTTTTATTTTTTAAATTAATTAAAATAAAAAGTAGTTTAGGTTATACAACAAATGTAATTAAAATTATTTGTCTTCTAATCATAATCATAGACGGAGACTCTGAATTGAAATTGACGATGTTTAACGAAATGGATTACTGAGTCTACACGGAGGTGGCTTGGAAACGAAGATCCAAATTAAAATTGACCTAAATGTTTCCTTATACAATTTTTATTTCAGTTATTTTTCGGATATTTTTAAATTTCTGATTTCGATTTTAGTTCTGTTTTGTACTAAAAATAAATGAACTAAGCATATAGTCTCTTCGTTATATAATCTGATCTTAGTTCGGTTTCATTAAAAATTATTTATTTTCTTTTATATCAATTTTTATTTAATTTTATTTAGATTTGGTTTGAATTTTTATTTATTTAAAGATATCATTTCAATTTTTTTTTATCTAAAGATATCATTAATTTAGTTTTAGAAAAAATTACATCACATTAATTTTGATATTATTATTTTTATTTAATTTGATTTGATTTTATATATTTGAGTCCAACAAAAAAATGAGAAGAGAGAAATACTTATTTCGAGCTAAATAAAGTTAATATGGTTTTCATGGTTTATAGAATTATTTATGGAATTAAATTAATGGGACAATATATTGTTGTAGGCATTGAAAGGCACATCGAGGAGACTAATGATGTCACGTGTGCTTACAGTTGAATTAAATCAAGAAAATTCCAACGAAGACAAGCTGTATGATAGTATTTTGATTGGTACGTTAAAAATAAAAAAAAATATTTGAAAAATCATTTAATTAAATTGTAATCCTAGATTGTAGCACTAATTAATTAATACATCATGTCATAACCCGGGTACAAATAGATTGGAATTCCTAATACCAAAACCGGATCAACTAAAAATAAAATTGAACCGGTCCGTCCACCATGAATTTTGGTAGGGCTTTTATGTCTTCAATCGGTTTGTCAATATATTCGCCTGAAATGTATATTGTACTAAATGGTTAAAATGGGTTAGGCTTCTTAAATAAACCCATAATTTTATAATGGGTTGGATTTATTAAATCCATTTAATAACCAAATCCATAAATTTAAACTTATAAATTCAATAATTAATGGACCAGACCAACCCTTTTTGCCAACATATAATTCTATTTCGAGCTACCACCACATCCTATACTAACTTCATTTAATTGAATATCAACCAATTAATAGACTGATTTGTTTTGAGTTAATTTCTTTTTGTTACAAGTAATTGCATAAATACTTGTTTTTCATGGATGAATAAACAATACAATAAAAAAAAATTCAACCTCAAATTAATTTGAATATCCCAAATTCAATAACCTACCGGATTAAACCTAATGATCGACTAAGATCGGTACCAAGAATTCCATGAATCGGGAATCGAAAAGTGTAAAGCCAAATACAAATAAAATTGGAACCACTAATATCGTAAACCTTAAAATCATTGTTAGAAAGGTCTTCAGCAAACCTTTGGAGCGAAGTGGAGGTTTCCGAACCGTCGGTTCGAGTCAGAAGGTTTGGTAACACGGAGGGGCAAAATGGTCTTTTGTAAGGTCACGTTTTGAGACCTAGGGTTAGGGTAATTTTCGGGTTGAGATTGTTTTTTGTCGTTTTGAACTTTCTCTCTCTCTCGATGGTGCGATTTCGTTCCTCCGAGCGTCGGGGTCGATTTTCCGGTCGATCTCCGGCGGTTCTCTTTGTGCAACCCTAGCAAACGTTGTTCCTCTTCTCGAGACGTAGGTACCGAGCGTTAGAACTCGGTACTGGACTCGTAAATCTCCGGTGTCGTGTGTGTTCTTTCTGTTCTTGCTCACACGAATGATTCGGAGAAAATCGGTGAGGTTTCGAGGGGTTAAATCTTCTACAATCATGTTATCTCTCCATAAGTCTTAAGTCTTAATCGTACATATATAGACGATATGTAAAATATTAATGGATTAGAGAAAATATTGCCATAGTATTCCATTACTATACAAATTATACCTTCTAATATTCCTTTAGCACTTGGATTTTGGCGGAATATACCTATACATACGCATTCTTTGTTTGTCAATGTAAATCATACGATATACCTATCAATGACAATGATCGTTGTCTCCCATCGGGTAGGAGGTCGTTGGTCGACGGTTTCCGGCGCCGTCAAGAATCTAAGATTCGGGCATTTGAGCGTGTCTTTTGTTGGAACACGACCCGTGACTAAGTAACTTGTTGCGCAAGAAAAGGGTTCACACCGTTCGAATCGATGTAATTTTCATAGGAAGGAAAATCGACCACATTGCCCCTGTCGCTTAGTTGATGAACCCTAACCCTAGCGTTTTCGGCCAAGAAACGGAGTACGACGTTTTCTTCAAAGAATCCGAGTATACATTCTTGAAAATACTGTTTATTACTCTGAGGAAACGGTCCACAGAGCGTCCCAAGTGGAAGGATTTGGTTTGGTTATGACAGGAAACAGCAGTGTCGCGTTTCTCGGGATTAAAGGAGTGGATTGGAAGCTTCCGGAATTAGGGTTTGTTCGACAGAGAAATGCATGCTTTCTTCAAAAGAGCTCGATTCTTGATTCTCTGTAACAACAATGGCGTTTTCATGCACGTTTTTGTAGAACTCGTTTGTTGTAAAGCTTCATCGGGTAGGAGATTTTAACTTTTTTGGATTGATCAGTTTCTGGGATTTGTATGAATTATCCGAGGAATTGAAGAGCAAATCATCAAGATATTTTTTTTTTCCCGGGAAATGGATTTTAATTATTCATGTGAGTCGTGTTTCTAGATGTTCAAAACCATGAGAATTTGTTGACCCCCCAAAAAAAAATTTAAATAAAAAAGAAAAAGAATAACTAAATGAATCTGTTAATTGTTATTACAGATCGGCGGCTTAAGACCAAAAAGAAATCATTACATAAGTTAGGTCAAACGCGCCTACGTAACTGTTGCGACAAAAACTAATCCCACAGATAAATTACATGATTCAAATCCCAAAAGAGGAAGAAAAAAAAAACTACTAACAGAATCAGTAACAGTAGAAACAACATAGAAAGAAAACCCGTTACCTTCAATTGGATTCACGTTCAAACCCAATCTTTCCTTGACCTACACGGTATCTTCAAGTTTTGTTCTTTTCCTCTCTGTGTCTCTGTCTGAATATATACGCGCACACACGACGTATATATACATATATATAAATTCATGAACGTGACGAATGAGCCGCCGATCAACGAAGGAGATTGCCTTCACGCCAGTTTCAACATATCGTCGCACGGAATATGGGACGAACTAGAATCTGGAGGGGCGATTCTCGGATATTCGTTGCCTCTTTTGGAGATGCAAGTCATGGCCATGTTCTTGGTCATTGTCTTGACTCATATGTTCCTCAGATGCATCGGCGTACCTCAGATCGCTTCCCACATGATCGTGAGTCGATTTTTCCATCTTGACATGTTATCTGTGTTATATGGTTTAATTTGGTTTCTGATGTTCTTCATGTTCTTGGTTCAATGATTGAGGATCTGAAAAGGTTATGATCAATCGTCCAAAACGTTTGTCTTGTTATTACAGCGTATGCAGTGTTTCAGACATGTGTTTCAAAGGGAAAGTTCTGTCTCTGATCATGTTTTTCCGTAATGATGCGTATATACAGGGCGGGCTGATTCTTGGTCCTCAGCTATTCGATCTACGTGAATTCTCACTCCGGCGGCTGTCACTGGATCCCCAATTCAGCGGAAATCAGACGCTGGATGCGATCTCCACGTTGGCTTCGATACTTTTCTCGTTCTCGATGACCGTTAGGACCAACCGAGGAGTAGCTTTCACCGGCGGGAAACTCCCAGTCGCCATTGCCTTATTCTCATTCTTACCTCCTCTCTTCATCGGCCTCATCTTCAGATTTCTGCTCACAGAAAACCTAGACCCTCTCTACATGCCTCGGAAGCTTGCCCTAGCCGAACGTTCCGTGATCATCACGACACAAGCTTCCACTCTCTTACCGACAATAACCCACCTCCTATCCGAACTCAAGATCCTCAACTCGGAACTTGGCCGACTCACCTTGTCCGCCGCTGTCCTAGCCGAATATCTCGGGATTTTCGTCATCATAATCGCTAGCTTTGTCGGAACGTACAGAAACGTCTCCCCCGGGATCGCTTACCGTGATGCCATCGCCACATTGATATTCTTCGTCTTTCTCATCTTCATTTTCAAGCCTGCTGTCGAATGGATCATCCATCAGACGCCCGAGGGAAAACCCGTTCGGAACGTTTACATTAACGCTGTTATCGTTACCGTTTTCGCCTCTTCTGTTTTCACGACGTTCTTCAACCTTAAGTATGTTCTCGGACCGATATTGATCGGTCTGGTAATACCGGACGGTCCTCCTCTTGGTTCTACGTTAGAGGCGAAATTTGAGAAGGTCGTTAAGAATGTGCTTTTACCGATCGCGATTTCGGCATCTTTGATGAGAGCCGACATAACGAGAATCTTTTACGAGTTCGATGACATTTCTTATAACATATTTCTCTTGGTTCTGATGCTTATCCTGAAACTTCTTGGCGCTCTTTTGCCTTGCTTGTACTTCAAGTTACCTCTGAAGGAATCTATGGCAGTCGCCATTATCACTAGCAGCAAGGGTTTCTCCGAGCTCTATCTTTACGAAATCGCGAGAGAAAAGTCGGTAAGATCTCTGAAAACTTTGTTAAATTTTTCGTATCATTGCGTTGTCTGACACCGATATCGTGTCTTTTTTCGACAGTATCTCTCGATCGGGACGCATTCGCTACTCATGCTGTACGTACTTATGAATTACGGAATCATCCCTACCATTGTCAACTCTCTGTACGATCCAAAGAGGAAGTACGTCGGATTCCAAAAGGCGAACATTATGCATCTGAAACCGAACTCGAATGTCAGAATCCTCACTTGTCTGCACAGACCAGGCAACATTTCTTCGGCCATTGGTTTGCTTCAGTTACTGATCTCACCGAACCAGGACCCACCCATTGTGGTCACGGTCCTACATCTCGTGAAACTCGTGGGCCGTGTCCTTCCCGTTCTCATATCGCACAGCAAGAAGTCGAAACGGATGCTTCTGAGCTCTTACATTCAGACAGCCATGCTCGAGTTCAGCCAGTTCGAGGAAGACAACTGGGGATCCTTGTCCTTGAACATGTTCACAGATTTCTCCCACGAGAATATGATGCACGACGATGTCTGCCAGCTCGCGTTAGACCAGTCATCGTCGATTATCATCCTACCCTCTGGTCGGAAGTGGACTCTGGACGGATCGTTCGATTCAGACGACGTAGCGATCAGAAACCTGAACGTTTCTCTCCTCGAACGTGCGCCCTGCTCGATCGGAATACTCGTGGACCGAGGCCAGTTCTCCCGGAGAGCGAACTCGAAGAACGATGAAAAGGGCTCGGATAAATACCCGATAAACGTGGGAGTGATCTTCATCGGGGGGCAGGACGATCGAGAGGCGTTGTCTCTGGCGAAAAGAATGATACAGAACCAAAGAGTGTGTCTGACGGTGATCCGATTCGTCACGGATCAAGAGACGGAGTCCACGAGCTGGGAGTACTTTCTTGATTACGAGGTGTTGAAGGATCTGAAGCGGAGCAGCGACAGCGACGAGAGCATAGTGATATCGTACAAGGAGAAGGTGGTGAACAGCGGTCCGGAGGTGGCGAGGACGGTGAGAGGGATCGGGAAAGATTACGATCTGATGATCGTGGGGAGAGATCACGGAGAGGCCTCTCCCGATTTCTCGGGATTGGAGGGTTGGATGGAAATGCCGGAGTTAGGCGTGATCGGAGATTTGCTCGCTGCGAGAGATTTGAATTCGCACGTATCTGTTTTGGTAGTTCAACAGCAGCGGCAACGGGCTTGAGTGGGCTGTCTGTTTGCTTTTAGGGCACAATTCTTTTATAAGAACAAAATGTTTTATTCTTTCATAATAAATTAGTTGCCGTGGTGTAGTGGTTATCACGTTAGTCTTACACACTAAAGGTCCCCAGTTCGATCCTGGGCGGCAGCATTTTTTATTTGTTAAATATTTTTCATGTTATCAAAAACATTACATATGACCTTTTCTTTTATATTCTACAAAAAAAAATATTCAAAAAATAATACACCTAACAAAAATGTAAACAGATTATGCTTATCTGAAATGTCTTATATCCGAATTAGGATTCGAATATGGAATTCTGCTTTTGGTGTAGGACAGTGCATGATCCAAGCTTTTGGGCCATATTAGCTTTATGCGTTTGCGTTACAAAACGCAAATTGGTGTTACTCAAAATGAATGATGGTCCTCTGACCTCTTTCATTAGACGCCAGAAAGTTCAAACACAGGCGTTTTGCGTTTTGCGTTTTTGCGTTTTGAACCACTGCCCGTACAAATTTCACAACTCAAACTGTATATGAAAACGCCGCTCTGGTGAAAGAGTCCTAACGGGAAGAGCATCGCCATGGGGGCAGTCTTCTTTACATCACCCAAAGCAGCAGTCTTTTGAGTTTTGCAGAAGATTTAGTTACCATAAACATTGATCCTAACTCGAGCTGTAACATCCGGGTGAAGCTTCAGTTCGGCTACGTACTCTCCCGTCTCACGGATTTCCGGGAGTGTAACTATCCTTTTGTCAATGTCCCTGCAAACCCGGAGAAAACAAGAAGATGAAAAAACCCAGATTAAATCTTCGAAGAACGATGACAAAAGCACTGCAGAACGCAGATTCCCCGTGAAAAATCCGAGTTTAGTAGCGCAAAGCAAAGATTTTCGGGAAAAAGAAGTAAGTTGTATCTTATTGATATCGGGTTTTGTTTGGGAAAGAAGCAAATAACAAAAGCAATGCAGAATGCAGATTCCCCGTGACAAATCCGAGTTTAGTAGAGCAAAGCAAAGATTTTGGGAAAAAAGGCATAAACTTTATCTTAAAACAATCGGATTTCTGAAAGATTGATATCGAGAAAGATGTAAACTTCATCTGTGCTGATCAAATTCTTAACAACAGCAACGCCAGAATGAAGATTCCCTGTGAACAATCCGAGTTTAGTAGTGCAAAGCAAAGATTTTCGGGAAAAAGGCGTAAACTTTATCTTAAAACAGTAAGCTTTCTGAAAGATTGATATCGAGAAAGATATATTAAACTTCATCTCTGATGATCAATTACCTTTGGAGCTGGGCCTTGATGATATCGACAATATCTTGTGCAGTGACACTACAGAAAAAATAAAAAGATAAAGTGAATCATCACAGGCTACATAATATATATAACATCTCAAGATCACAAAAAGTCCGGTAGCTTAAAACACTGATTAAGGGTTCAGACTCACGATCCGAAGATTTGTTTGCCTTTTCCACCTTTGCGTTTCACCTTGAACGCCCCGACAGTCTCAAATATCAGTGCCAGTTGCCGGGCTTCTTCTTTCACCTGTCAAAACGATCCACGGGAAAGGGTCAGATGAAATTTGATGACAGATGCCGCATTTCCTCATGCCGATAAATCAAAGACCGAAACTTTTCATGGTAAGTTAACCAAGTAATGGGCTCGACAGGACATTGCTTAAGCTCAATCCGAAGACTGATTGGAATGTATGGGACTGTAATAGCATTTGCAACTAACAGATTACGACCTTTAGTTGGCAAACTAAGAAAAATATGAAGAATCTAAACAGCAGATATCGATAAGCAGAACAATTTATACTCATCTCAGATTTACCCTTTGCTTCTCGGCCTCTATCCGTTCCTCTTCCATCTTCATTTCCCTGGAAAAACCAACCGAACAACATAAAACAATAGCAACGGGTTTCTAGCCCTTTGTATAAATCTCAATACCGTATCTCAAGTTCCGAGAACAAGTTCCTCAAGACGAAGAGATTTTGTGTATAAACATGAACTGGAGATGTGAGAATGTCAATTACTTGAGAAGAACCGGAGTCACGAGCTGAGCCTTTCCCGTTGGCAAGAGATAGTTTCTAAGAAACCCGGCTTTCACCTCGAGTAATTGCCCTTGTTTCCCAACGTACTCGACGTCCTCTTTCAAGATTACCTTGAAGAAGAAACAACAATGGAAAACATCAGTTCCCTTCATTTTCAATTCTTTTTCCCAGAGAAAGTGTGAATTTTCTCGCGTACCAAACAGCATTGAAGATAAAAACACCAATGCAACAGAGTCTCAGTAACACTCCCAAATTCCTTTATCTTTTTCTTCAGTTTTCTCGGGAATCAAACGGAAAATAATCACAAACGACCATGGGACACTCTTCAAACACAAGCTTAATCCGAATTCATCCTTCAATGCGTTCTGGAAAAATATTTACCTCTCGAAACAGTCTCCCATTTCCTTTCATCCCCCAATTTTCGCAGTAATCAAACGGGAAATTTTGTACGGAATCGATAAGACTCACAAGAAAACGCAAATTTCGTTTCTTTTTCCATGAACTTTCTGAGAAACCAAACAGAAAATACCAATCGAGACAAAACCATCATCGAAACCAGGAAGGAACCCATCAAACACAGTCACCGTTTTATCACTTTACCTTGCGAACTTTCTTGGCTTTCTTCTGGGCAACCACAAAAAAACTCGACTTTCTATCAGGAAACTTAGGGTTTTCATTGAAACTGCGGAACCAACAAGACGAGGAGCTCCATGAGAGGGACGAAGCTGTAGAAAACGCCATTACCCAAGCTCGGTCTCAAGCTCGCTCCGTCGTTTTATCCTCTTATCGGTTTTGGGGTGCTCTCTATTAAGGTCCACATCCAATCTAATATTTTGTGACGTTTCGAATTGGACCCCCAAATTTTGTAAAAATTTCATTTCGTACTTCTTTTACAAAATGTTACATTTTAACCCATTGGGCCAAGAAGAAATCTACAAGAACGTGGTACATCTTTACATACACATGAACAAGTACGGGTTCGATTTCTAATTCTGATATACGTACTTCTGTGAATCTATATAATCTAATCGATATCAGCGTGAACGTAATCTACGAATACGAAGTTCTTCTCAAGTTCATGTAAAGCGTATGCAGATGCGGCCGAAATCAGGGCAAGACCAGCAAGGATGATCCGAAACTGAACTTCTGAAGGAACACCGGCTATGGCGGCGAAGCAAACTGTCGTTCCGACAAGAATCTTCTGGAAAGTTCGGAAGCCCTCGTAAGCTCCTTTGCATGAGGAACACACTTGCGTGTGTTGTTCGAATCTATCCAACATCTGTGGTGCAAAAAAATCACAGAAAGAACGGAAGTTTGAGTACATTTTTTTTTACGGAATTCGATTCGGAATGAAAGATCACGAGATTCTGGAAGATGGGTTATTCACCTGACGTTTGGTTAAGACAGTGGAAGGGAGGGATTGGTTAGTGACGGTGCCGAACCACTCGGGCTGGCTCTTGCCGTGCCGTCTGAGCCAGTTTCTGAAGGCTAAGACGAACCGGTCAGCTTGAGTCGGCGTGAAGGTTAGCTTCGTGTACTGTTTGTTCACGTCATTGTCCGGAGACTCCATTGTTTTGGAGAGGAAGACCTTCTCTTGGCCCTGAAGAACGATCATGTCACCGTCGTAGACTTTATTCGACGTCCAATGCTCGTACCATCTCGGAACCACCTAACAATGGCGATACAATACGAATGATTGGAGCCACGAGGAATGATGGATTATGGTTTAAGGTTTAGAGATTAGGATTTAGTGTTTACGTACCTGCCACCAGGCAGGTCCCGGGACAGAGAACTGGAAGAAGTTCCGAGCGCTACAAACGATGGAACGTGTCTTTCCCGGGGCCATCGGTACATTAAACGAACAGATCCATATGACCCATTTCTGATCACCCACAACTGGTAGCTTCGTGTCTATCTCAATCCTGGAGAAACCATACAAATATACACAGACGATAACTATTTGCAACGCTATTAGCTACTCGAAACTTTATTAGACTCTCTTTTTAAGGTTTTCTACCAAAAACACCCGGCTAAAACTAACGTTCTAATTAACCGGTGTATCAGACTTTTTCGACATTAAACCGAGTTATAACGTAAATGCAACGCAATCTGCATTACATAAAACCGGTTTTCTGACAAAACCAGAAATTAAGTCTTGAACTCGAGGCTTTGAGTTTGAAATTATCAAACAGAAACTCGGAGAGCAATGCTTACTTGTTGAGATAATAGCATGGAGCAACGAACTTGGCGCTGATCTTAGGGTTGTCGTCGTTTGCACCCTCGAAACCCCATGGACCGCTTGCTTCCAATTTGAAGGGCAGAGGTTTTGCTCTGTCTCGTCTTCCGGTAACCTGTTTTGAAACATCGGGTCACTCGATGAAAGCCTCAAGCACAAAATTACGACGTTACTACATCGTACTAGCATGTATTTTTCCAAAGCAATCTTCAACATGTTTACTATGGCTGAGGAAAAATCCGGAATTTGGGTACCCGACCTATTATATGAGATGAGATCGGGTTTGTTCATGAGGAAAACCCGAAAACGGGGTTCATGTACTTGGATACGAGACGGGTATTACGCTTACGCATAGGTACCCAGATGAGGATTCAATTTACCTTTTTACCCTTTTTTTATATATGAGCAATCGTTCTTGATGCCAAAACCGTGCCTATTCTATCTATCACAAAGACCGACAGAATTAGGATGATTTTGAACATAGTTTTACCCTTATTTTTTAACTAAACTGCATACAAACATACGGTTCTGAAAAATAATGCGGAAAGCAATGGCTAAATCAAGGTATCAGTGAAACACAGGAAAGGGATAAAAACATGGCACTGCAACTAAGGTGCTCTTTCAGTCTATTTGCATTTGGACCGAGGATTTCAATGATCATCAACACAGAAAATATAACAGAAAAGACCGATACTACGTTAGATTTCAAGTACCTTGTGATGAGCAAAGTCGATGTGAGAAGGATCAGATACATTCTCCATTAGAGTATCATAGCCGTAGAATAAGTCCCGTTGAATTGACACGGTTGCAAACTCCGGCTTGTCAAAATCATCAGGCAACCTAAGCAAGCAAGCATGTGAATCGAATCTTTATCTTAAAGATCTTCCCCCAGCAACCCGCTGCTAATGAACTATCTTACACTTAAGCTCAGGTCCTAAATGAACATACACACACCATGAATGGTAGAAACCGAGGAGAATATCGGTTCATTACCTAGGCGGTTCGGTGGAATTGGCTCTGTCCCAACCATTTTCATCAGGCCACACAAAGAGCAGACCTTGAGACACCATTGTCGGGAACCTTATAGCGCAAGCTCTCGGGGATTTAACAGCACGCGCCTCGGGCCCTGAAGAAGATGCCTGCGGGATTCGAGTGCAAGATCCACAGCCATCAAATGACCATCCGTGATATGAACATTGCAAGTGCCCGTTTTCGTCTATCCTTCCTTCCTGCCAACCATAAGTTCCTTCCAGGCATAAAGACATGAATCCATGGCCAGATGCTATATACAAAAACTACACAGTAATCAAAACCCTTCTGGAGTACTTCAAGATGTTCCAGAAAGAGTTCATCCCAAGACTCAAAGTCGAAGAAAAGTTGGGGATTTTGCCCACAATACGTTCATCTATCTGACCCAGAATTTGAAATCATCATATGCTGTGATCTGATTTAACTATTTGAAGTAGCCCTTAAAGCTGATCCAGATTTGAATAATCACAGTTCAGTACTTTATACTCTTAATAATAAACAATTACCCAACGAATCTACTCAAATATCTATAATTTATTCCCGAAAATGGCGTCTAATCCTACTAACAGTGCCTAAATTAGGAAGCTTCTTAGAGAGATAGAGAGAGAGAGAGAGGTTACAGAGAGAGGAGCGAGCCTGTGAGGGCACAAGTCATCGAAGGCGACCCAATTCTGGTCATTGCGATCGAACCAGAGGACGAGGTCTCGACCCAGGAGCTGGAACCGGGTCGGCAAATCCGGATCCAAATCCTCCACCAGAGAAACCGGGTACCAGTGATCTCTCCACTGGAACGTCGACCCTTCTTCCTCCCTCTCACCGCCGTAATCTTCCCCTTCCTCTTCTCCGATCCTCTTCTCCTCCGCCGGATCTGACGCCGGAGCCGACAACGGCGCCGCCACGCGTAAAGGGTTGTCCAAAAGCTTCGGTTTTGGCGGAGAAATCCGAACCCGGGATGAGAAATTCACGGAATTAGCCGGAATTACAAGTGGGTTCTTCGCGGGTTTTGGATTTGAGATTGATGCGGAGGCAGAAACCAAAACCACTGACATTTTTCTCTGTTTTTTGGGTTTTTCGTCGATCTAGTCTCTCGATTTCGCTTGAAGTTTTGGGAATCTATAATGCGTCTGCGTGTTTTCTGGAAGAAGCGTTTGCGTGCAAAATTTGCATTTCCAGTGGTCATTGTAGGATCCATTTGTCTTCGACGAGCAAACTATGAACATGAGGTTTCACACGTGGCAGATTTCGACACGTGGAAAATTTGGATTGTTCCTAACCATTTTTCTCTTTTTATTTTCAATTTATCTGGACCGTAAAAATTTAAAAATGAAGTATCGAGGGATTGTCTTGAAACACGTGAGTGAGCTATTCGTCTTCTCGGTCACCTAAAGATAATATACTCATTTAAATATTGTATGCTTTTTCTAATCATTCACGGCTATATTCAAGAATAATATATTTAAATCATATAATAAACTCTTATAATAATATTTTTGTACCCTTTAAGATACTTTTTCTTATAGTAATATTTTTATGAATGATAAAAAGAAAATATCCCTTTTCACTTTTCCCGCGTAAGAAGCAAAGAACCTTGGAATAGTTTTCTTGCATCCCAAGAAAGAAATCCCAATGGCAAAGTAAATATTGTGTGTGTGTATATATATCCTATATGTAACTAAATTATGTAATCCCAAATTTGATCCAAACCCTAAAACCAATGCCGCCGATGGCAACACCCGCCCTACCGGGGGCTCGCCGACGCGGCCTCATCTTCTGGATCATGGCCATCATACTAACCCTAATCTTCCTCGGAGGCCTAGTCGTTCTGGTTGCCTGGCTCACAATCAAGCCCAAGCGACTCGATTACGTTATCCTCGACGCGTCGGTCCAAAAATATAACCTCACCAACGATAACCATCTCTCGGCCACATTCCAGTTCACCATCCAATCCCATAACCCTAACCACAAAATCTCGATCTACTACGAATCCCTCGAACTCTTCGTGAAATTCAACGACCATACGCTGTCTTTCGACACCATCGAGCCGTTCCACCAGCCGAGGAAGAACGTGACGAAGATGGAGGATTCGGTCGTGGCGAAAAACGTGGCGATCTCGCGGTCGGATGCTCGAGATTTGAGGGCTCAGACCAAGTTGGGGAGAATAGATGTGGATGTGTACGTCAGGGCAAGGGTCCGGTTCAATGTCGGGATATGGAAGTCATCGCATCGTACGGCTAAGATCGAATGTTCACCTGTTACGGTGAGCTTGTCGAATGCCAAATCCCGAATAACTTATTGCAATACCAGTCTTTGATTATAGTCAGTTTGTATACTTGTGTTCTTGCGTGTTTTTCTTTTTTTGTAATAAGATTTCAATTGTACTGAAACCATTTTGATTGTTTTTTTTTTTGCAGTTTTTATATGAAAAAATATAGTTATACTGAAGTACGTACAATGACAGATAATATAAAAATCAATTGAATATGATTAATTTGTTTTAAATGAAATTAATGGAATCGAATAAAACAATAATAATTAATGGCAATCGAATAAACCATGGAAATAGCTATTGCAACGTCTTTGTACTAACATGATTAAGGCTTCTTGTAGAGGTTTAAAGGGAGATTAATGTCTATTAAGTTAAAGTTTAAGGCGGTGAAAGTTGTTTTGTGCATATAAGCCTTTTTTGTTAATTTTCCAAATTTTGTTACCGTTACAAGCGATTATTACTTTTTCAGTCGCTAAATAATCGCCATAAATTACAATCAAAGAGAAGCAAAGAACAAGAGAGTCCGAAGCACTTTGCACATTTCTTGAATCATAAGAAAGTGTTCCCAATGGCGAAATATAGTGTCCATGCATATATATATATATATATATCCTCCTATATATACACATAACATCAAATTACTATTTCTGGAAAATTCGATCCAAAACCCTAAACTAAAACCAAATGTCGATCGTGTTGTGGGTTCATCTAGTGGAGATGGTATAGTATTCACTCTTATAATGATTCGTTGGATTAATTTATATAAGATTGATAAAAAGAAAAAAAAGGAAAAAAAATCAACTTAAAAAATTTATTTACAAATTTTGGGGAAAAACTGTCAAAAACAATCTTTAGCCAATTAAATAACTCAAGAATAATTTATACTTTTAAAAAAGTTCCCAAACTTTGATTAAAAAAACAAAATATATTTGAACAATTGAAAATCTACAAAGGTTGGTCTCGGGTCTATAGTAGATGTAGGCGAATCAAAGGCTCGGAAAATCATCATGTTTATAAAAAAAAAACTTAGAGCTTTTTTGAGTATGGAATAATAAAAGTTGAAAGGAAAAAAGTAGAAAGAATATTGTACTTTGTTTTCTCGAATAGCAATTTCATCCAAAAAATAAAATAAAATAAAGGAAAACAATGTAAATTTAACCAAATTTGAAATGTCATCTAGAACGAGATTTCTCTGAATTAGAAGAAATTATAAGTTTAAACCAGTTAAGCTTATTTTTAAATATTCAGCCTTAGTTCTTATTTTTTCAACTTCTGTTTACGTTTTTTTCCCCCTCTTGTTTTAATCTAATTGCCCGTTTTAAATATATGTCTTTTAAAAGTAATTTACCGAGATGTTATGCAAATATATTCGTTATAAAAATGAAAACAAAAAAAGAAAATACATATTTCAAATATAAACTTTAAATTACTTCAACTAGCATATCTAGGGTTTATCCTTTTTTTTTCTCCAATACAAAATAAATATCGAAAATCGTAGTAGAAAATACGAGATTTATTTTTCGTGTTTATTATAAACTTCAATCTTCCAAGTGACACGCCAAACACATTTTCATCCCCCGGCCCGCAGCAGAAGCAAAGAACAAGAGAATCGAGAGGAATGGTCTACACGTTTCTTGCATCACAAGAAAGTAACCTCAATCGCAAAATCCAACGTCCGTACACATATACGATCCTATATATATATACATACATGACACCAAACTAGTATTCTCGGGAAAAAATTGATCCAAACCCTAAACAAAAAACCAAATGTCGATCGTGTCATGGGGGGTTAGATGCCATGGCCGTGGCCTCGGCCGATGCGGCATAGTCCTCACTCTGGCCGTAATAATCAGCGGATGCATCGCTGTCCTGATTTCTATATTCCAAACCAAGCCATCGTATCTCGACGTGTCCATCTGGAACGCGACAACAGCCGAGGACTTTAACCTCACCCGCGACGGCAATCTCACGGCGACGTTATCTTTTTCCGTTAAAGTGGTGAACCCAGATCGCAGACTCTTCGTCTACTTCGAATCTCTCGAAGTCAACATTCACTATCATGGTGCGATTTTCTATCTGTTTGACGATGTAGCTTACGACAAGCACCTAGGAATGGACTTGATCACTATGAAGATTCTTTATAGATCTTTACGTGCATTACAACTTTTGAAAAATTCGATTTATCTTCCAGCAATAATTTTTTTTTTAATGAAGAAAGTGAAACACACTCTTTGGGAAAATAAATTTAGATGGAAAAATAAAGAATCATTACAAATTGACGCATGCATTTCGTGGTGCCAAGCAGCATCTTTTTTGGGGGGTAGAATGTGCCCGTCGGTCCGCACGCGCATACCCTTTTATTTTTATTTTCCTGTAAATTTATAACAATCTCCCAATTTATTTATTATTTCTTCGTGACATGAAGAAGACGTGCAACTAGTTGGCATGGGTTTTTTTTTTTTTTTTTTGGTAGAATAGTTGGCATGGGTATTGCGTCCTTATACTCTGTGTCTTGTAAGGGATATCCCAACCATCCCTCGTACAACAACCATTACTATAAAGTGGGTGATATATATATAATATTTCATTTGACTAATACCGCACTTTGCTCCCTACATGCGCTTTAACCTTGTCTTCCACCAAGGCATTGATTCGAAGATTCGAATAATATATCGAAACGGAATTTGAGATTTATGAGTATCCGGAATAATGGCCGGGTATTCCCCGATATCCGGATCTATTATTTATTTAAGAAAAAACAATAATATTTATATATAAAATTTTCAAAAACTGAAGATATATTTATAAAAATAAATGAATTAGGATAAAAATATGAGATAATAAGAGATAAATAATAATAAATTAGTTTTTCGAGATAATATTAAAAAATACGAAATTATTTAACCTAAAACAATTATATTTTATAAAAATATTATATAAATATAAGATATAATTATTTATAATCATATAATAGTTGGTTATCTGCGGATACGTGGTTTTAAAAATTTTATTATCTGGATTTGAATTCGGATTTACTGATATTAAAAAAACCGGATTTGGATTTGGATTTAAAAATTACGAGTACCTTAAAATCAGATATCCGCGAGATGAATATCCGACGGATATCCGATTTTCAGATATTTATGCCCATCCGTAGCTGAGGAACGCACGCACCCACACGTATATTATTAAGGTAGACCGCATGATTATTGTATCTGCCCGATCTAAGTTCTTCGAATGATTTAACGTGGCATTGGACCTACCCAAAAAAAAAATCAGAAATGGGTCTAGAAACATTGAGTTAAATCGCTGCCGATATTCGATTAAAATTATAAGTTGTATATCTAAACTTTTTTGTTCGTCAATAATTATAACAAAGGTTTTTTAATTTTTCATGTATCATTAAAATCCAAAATCTTTCCTTGGATTTGAGATTTTTTTCGCATTTAATGGTGGTCGAAAATTAGGCGCGGTCAGCAAGATTCACCCGGTTTTAATATAATATCGGTTTAAATTTTTATTAAAATATAATAACCAGAAAAACCTGTGATTTAACTTGGCAAAATCTATCGTACGCTCTTCGTTTTTATTTATTTATTGCTTTTTTATTTCAGAACGTGAAGAAGATATTATTATTTATTTTAATTAGGAATTATCTCTTAATATACAATCTTGTTAAAAAATAACAAGAAAACGTCGAGCACATGTGTTTTTGGACGTAGAAGTCGAAGAAGATGACGTGGATGATCCTAAAATAAAGAAGAAGACGTGTGGACTAGAAAAAAAAAAATCTCCAATAAATTAAGAAAAAATTTATACAAAAATAAAGTATTTAGTAGAAATATTTTTAAAAAAATAAAAAAATACGAGATTTTTTTTTTCCAGTTTCTATATAAAGGGTTCTTCTCATCCATTTAGTAAAAAAAAAAAAAAGACAGCAGGACAAGAAAACTATGCATTCATCATCATGGAGACCAAACTGTGTTCCATGTTTCTTCCTTTTGATCTTGTCATCGTTTCCCAACTCTTTCATTTCCCTTACACAATCTAAATTCGCCCAACTCAGAGTATACCCCGAAACAACACAAGACACATTTGATGAAACGTTATTACAATCCGATTCCGATGTCGAATTCTTCATTTTCGATCAAGATCTCGACCATTTCACGTATACACCGGAAAGTTATACCAAATTTCGGCAGAGATACGCCGTTGATACGAGATATTGGGGCGGCGCTGAGGCCAACTCCCCCATTCTTGCGTACCTCGGCGAGGAAACTTCCATGGATACGGACTTGAGGGCTATAGGGTTTCTTCGTGAAAACGGCCCTCATTTCAAAGCTCTCCTAGTTTACATGGAGGTAATGAATGAATATTTTCATGTGTAATACACACAAAACCTAACGTATAAAATGTAAGAGAAATTAAGCCCTAGCTAGCTAGGTTAAATCTTATCTTATACACGTGATGATGCATGTTGTGTGTATATATAACACAGCATAGGTATTATGGAGAATCGATGCCGTTTGGATCAGCGAAAGAAGCGTTGAAGAACGCAACCGCTATGGGATATTTCAACACGGCACAAGCCCTCGCCGACTATGCCGCTATTCTCTTGCATGTTAAGGATAAATATGCAGCCAAACACTCCCCTATCATCGTCGTCGGTGGATCCTACGGTGGAAGTAAGTCCACGTAAAATCATATATATATATATATATATATATATATATAATATCACGTTTTACTCGACCATAATAGTCTTACGTATACAATTCCTCTACTGTTTATGCCATTGGACAACATTCTTACCAATTTGGAAGATGTTAAATAGATATAAGTTGTCATTGACAACTATGTAACTATTTATAGTAAAACGGATTTAATTAATGCAATGTCTTGGTTATTTAATTTGTTACAAAATATTGCAGTGTTAGCCGCGTGGTTTAGGTTGAAATATCCACACATAGCAATTGGTGCGTTAGCATCTTCTGCTCCCGTTCTCTATTTCGAAGACACCGTTCCAAAACATGGTTATTACTATATCGTGACCAAAATAATCAAGGTAACGAATTTTCGAGCATCGGATATATTTTCATTGCCATTTGATGATATACTTTCGCGGGTTCATTCTCGATCTTAGATTTCTTTTGTAACAATAAAAATCTCCACACTTCAGAAAACAAGCGTGAGATGCCACAAGAGGATTCGAAAATCTTGGGACGAGATCGATAGAGTGGCTTCACAACCTAATGGCCTTTCGTTCCTAAGTGAAAAATTCAAGACTTGCGCGTACGTAAGAATTCACGAAATCTATAATGTTCTTACGTTTATCATATCGGCTAACAGATTAATTGTATGCTTTGTATTATGCCCTTGAATCCATCAGTCCGTTGAACGGAAGTTTCGACCTCAAAGATTTTCTAGACTCGGTATACGCCGAGGCTGTGCAATATAATCGACATCCAAATTACCCTGTTACCTCGATATGCAAAGCTATTGATTCTGAATCCCCGAGAGGTAAGAAGAAGGATTTGCTCGGTCGGATTTTCGCAGGAGTGGTTGCATACATTGGCAACAGATCTTGCTATGATACCACCATGTTTTCTCAACCAACAAACAATAATCTCGCTTGGAGATGGCAGGTATATATATATATACATATTTCAATACATTATTAGAGAAAAAATATCGAAGATATTATTGTTACACTTTGGTAAAATAATACAATAAAATTGTACCGGTGGCAGAGTTGTAGCGAGCTAGTGATGCCCATTGGACATGACAAGCAAGATACGCTGTACCAAACGATGCCGTATAATATAAGCAATTACATATCCGAATGTAAAAGCATGTACGGTGTCTCTCCTCGTCCACATTGGATCAACACTTACTACGGTGGTCAGGTGCACACCTTGGATATTTTCCCGTTTTTAATTTAATTTCGACTTTGAAAAAAATAATAATTTGATTTTTTTTTAAATATTGGAAACAAATATTTTATTTGAAGGATTTCAAATTAATTCTCCGAAGGTTTGGGAGCAACATCATTTTCTCCAATGGATTGTCCGATCCTTACAGCGTCGGCGGGTAAAATCATTTATTTATTTTTTAAACAGAAAATGGTAATTTCTTCCCATTCAAGGTTTATTAGGCATATTAATGTTTTTTAACCATCTTTTTTTTTAAATATAGAGTATTGGAAGATATTTCGGATACTATCGTCGCCATCAAGACAAATGGTATATATATAATTTTCTGCATGATATTTCAATGTTTTCAATTAGAACCATGGTATATAGTATTTAAAATCATTTAATCTAGTTTTATTTTGCATCAATTTCCATCCTAGCTTAGATGTTAAAATATATTTAAGAATAATTATTGTTGAGTTTTTGTAAACTATATATTTATATAAAAACCTAAAAGCTAAATAGTAAATAGTAAAATTCAATTTTAATAAAAATAAGAATAATGATTCTTTTAATCCATAAAAAGTATTTTATTAAGAACATAAAATTAAAGATTTTTTAATATAAAATAAAAATAACCAATTTTTTTTATGTTTTTGATGAAATTTTGCAGGTTCTCACTGTCTAGATTTGATCTTCAAGACAAAAGACGATCCTAAGTGGTTGGTCATGCAAAGACAAAAAGAAGTCAAAATAATTGATTCTTGGATTTCTAATTACCAAAAAGATCTAAAAGATCTTAAATTGAACGTATAATTTTACGTGAACAACTGATCTATTTTCTATTGTTTTTACATTGGATTTCTAAATAAACTTTGTAAAAATAGAAATTTAGGCCGTATCCTTCGTATTTACGTGATGATCTAAGCAAGAAGAAGAACAACGATAACATGTATGAAGGACATTATTATTATTATTATTATTATTATTATTATTATTATTATTATTATGATGATGACCATTTCTCACTTGGTTGATGCAAACAAAATTGCATTGATTCGTGTTCAATTATATATAATCTTATTTGAATTAGATTTTACATAAAATTTAAATAAATATTATTTTTCTTGAGAAAAAACCATATATATATATATATATATATATATATATATATACGGTTTTATGAAGTGCTAATTCATAAAATATAAGTTCCAAGTATTTCAAGCCCGATATCTTCAATGGGCTATATTATAACGTATGATTTTGGGCCTAAGCCCTTGCAGTTATGATATGGTTTGGTTCAATCGAGAGAAAACCGGAATCAATAAACATAACCGGTAATTCAACCGGTTTGGCTTATTCTATACAAAAAATGGTACGAGGGCATTGAGTACGATGATAATACCAATCTTTAAAGTTTGTTTTTTTAAAGCACCTATGATGATTAAACACTGTGCGATTATTAGTCCAAACGATATAATTTTCTAATCACACGATAATAAATAATTGTTGAAATATTTAATATTGAAATAAAGAATATTATCCGATAAGTAATTTGAAAATTGGTGTTTTTAGGTGATGACAAGTTCAAGTTAAAGATATGGTGATGAGTTAATTCATCTTGGAAACAATACAAAGTACTTTTTCCTTTTTATTTATTTATGCGAGAACGCGACATCACACCTCGCTACCTTAGACACTAAGGAAATTGATCCATAAGAAATGTGTATGTATATATATATATATATATATATATATATATTTAATTTTAAAACTTACTCTCTAGTCTCAACCTTTTACTATAAAAGAAATTCTACCATCAAGACTTTTTAATTGTGTAACCTATGGTTTGTTAATTGTTTTTTTTTTCAATTATTACATTTAAAAATCCAATCCCCATATAATATATAATAAGACTAATCGTAGATATTTCGATTTGATTATAGAAATTTATATTAAACCAATTTTCTGAATGAAAAATAATCGAATTGAATTTTATTTAAAAATATGTTGATTATTATTTTCTAAAAAATTAAACAAATTCAAATAAAATATTTTTAAAATAAAAAAATAATATAATTTGTAAAGAAAATAAAATCAGAGATGAATTATAATAAAATACTAATCAAATCTAAAATCGATCAAAGTTCTGATATATAGTTTTTAGGAAGCACGAATTTAATGAAAATAAATGAAACCTATAATATTTATATCTAATATATATGCAATAGAGAATTTTAAAGATGGACCCATAATATAATCAAGTTGTTTTAACCGATCATCTTGAATTGACGGGTTGTTTGATGTTTTTATATTTATGCGCATTTATTTTAAATTTTTTTCTAAAAGTCATGAAAATAAATTTTACAAGTAAAAGAAATTAAAAAAAAATTGCCAAACAACAAAAATCAGAGATTGCAATAAACTTACTGGCTTTTTTGGTCATTGGTCAAAGACACCTCATTGGAAACTGAATCACTTGCCATCGAAGATTCTTTATTACTGTTGAGAAAAAAAAAAAAACAGATTCTTTATTCCGAACCAAATAAAAAAATAAATTCCTGTTACCAAAAGAAAGCAGTAGCAGATTTTTTTTTTATAATCCAGAAATTCACCGAGTCTTTGGCCCGACTACATCTCTCAGAGGACCGAAAAAGCCTATGTGAATACCCCTTTCCATACTTGGGTTTGAACCCAAAATGAGAGTATTGCATGTTCTCTTACCACTAGGCCATCCAAACTTGAGTTCAATAGCAGATTTGTTTATCCATTAGTTCGCTCTTCTTCTCGATCGATCTGTATAATGATTCAATAATTCTTTTTTATTTGTATTTATACATAAATTTCTAGATTTTTTAAAAATAATTTTAACTAAATCAGAGGGTAATTTAGACATTTATTGAGGAAATCCTTATTTTTTTCCTTATTTTTAAAGGAGTGGTTAATAAAATCGAATTTCACTTTATTTTATCTTCTTTATTTTTAGAAGAAAAAAAGAAAAAAAAAACACCTTAAAGCAAAGGCGACCACCACCACCAAAAAAAAAAGAAGCTGAAATTCATGAAATAATTGCAGTGTGGGTTCTACAAGTAACTTCCGGAACGAAGAGATGCCATTATTTGAGTTGTCTATTGCACTTTTTTTTCCACAAAAAAAAAATATTATATCCAACGCTGGTAAAATGTTTTTTTTCTTTCTATTAATAACACATTTGAGACTGGATTTTTAAATGGTCGTGATTAGGTTTGTATTTTATGGATTTAAATTCGGATATTCCCTAACATGATATAATTATAAAAATATATTTTATATATATTATAAGATCACAAAATTGTTTTTATATTTTATATAATGTTCTACCAATTATACAGAATTAAAATATTTAATATGAATATAAAATGGAGTTTCAAAATTCGGATATGCACAGTAGTGCGCCTACATGCATACGCCCTTCAGGGTTAGGTTTACCGAAAAGCACAAGTGGATAGATTGGAGAACCTTCCACTATGATATAATCCAAAACTACTATTATTATATTTGTATATTATAGGGTCAATATTTAAGATTAAAAGATTGGTTATTTTATATATATATATATATATATATATTTGATTTTTCTATTGAATTTTTGTTTGGTTTCAGTTTTATATGGAATCAATTTTTATTAGAGATATATTTTTATTTAAAAATATCTCTAATCAACCAAAATTAATAAGGTAATGAAGTTTGTTAAAGAGTTAAAGGTTAGATGACCAAAACAGAGTAAGGAAAATAACCAATAAAATGCAAAAAAGATAATGATTTCGCAATTGAATTTGTTGTGAAAAATAGCATAATTATCATAAAAATATTAACAGCAAAAATATAAAATTTTCATAGAAAAGAGAAAACAAATCATTGAGACCTCATGCCGTTTTGGAGAAAATCCAAATTAACATCACAAGGAAAATGAAGATGGATGTTATGTTGAATTTATCAAAGATTATGATTGTTTTCTTTACCAAAAATAAAATAAAATAAAAAGATTATTGATTGTTTTCCACATGGTTTTATTTATTTATAGCAATAATAAATTTAACAGAAAAGCAAACTCATATGAATGGTAATTAAATTACACTTGTCGTTTTGACGTAATCCACACTCGAATCTCTCTCTTCTGATTCCCACTGTTGTTTTGTCTCTCCGACATCTCTCTCTCTCTCTCTCTCTCTCAGCATGAACACAACTCCGTCCTGTCCAAGCTAAATCTTATGTTTCATGAATATCGAGATCACTGATCTGTAGTCGTTAACATCCCCGTCTCGGTTTTCAAATTTCCCCGATACCCAATGGAGAAAAAATGATCTTTTTTGTCTTTTGACGAATCAAAGAGGTCGCGTTAGCTTTACTTAGACAGGGCGACAACAATGGCGGCTGTACGGCGGTCGGAATCGGCGGTTATCGGTCTGGTTCTGGTTTGGTTTCCGGCGGCGGTTCTAGCGTTGGGTTTACCGGTGACTCTGAAACTGGAACGGGCGATTCCGGCGAGTCGCGTGTTGGAACTGAGTCAACTCAGGGCGCGTGACAGAGCCAGACATGGCAGGTTGTTGCAGTCCTTAGGCGGAGTAATAGATTTTCCCGTCGATGGAACGTTTGATCCCTTTGTTGTCGGGTAATTTCATACATCTCTTATCCCTTCTTTTTAGGTTTTGATCGATTCGGTTGAAAGCATAGAGCTTATTGATCCTGAATGTTCACAAGGTGTTCGATTCATTTCTCTGTTCGTTGGTAGTCACAATTATATGAGATAATTGCGTTGTCTTGTGGACAAAGTTTGTATCTTTCTTTGGTTTTGAGGTATTTTGTTCGTCAGTTTAGACATTTGTTCCATGTTGTTTCTTCCTCTCGCAGATTTTTCAATGTTCTCTGAAACCATGGTTTCTGATTTCGATTGTGATTCCGACGTTTTCTCCTGAGATTTTCACATCTTTGAACAGATTATACTACACAAAACTCCAATTGGGATCTCCTCCAAGAGAGTTTTATGTGCAGATTGATACAGGAAGTGATGTTTTGTGGGTCAGCTGTTCTTCTTGCAATGGATGCCCTCAGACCAGTGGACTCCCGGTAAATTTTTCGCAATCTTTCGCCATCAAGAAAACCTTTGAAGATGGCTCTAGGGTTCTTCACTGCATTGAGATTAACAAAGTGTGTTCCTTTCTTTCAGATTCAGTTGAATTTCTTTGATCCTGGGAGCTCATTCACATCTGCGTTGATCTCATGTTCAGACCAGAGGTGCAGTTGGGGTGTTCAGTCTTCTGATTCAGGTTGCTCAGCTCAGAGCAATCTTTGTTCTTACACGTTTCAATACGGAGATGGAAGTGGAACCTCGGGTTTCTATGTATCCGATATGTTGTACTTTGACATGATTGTCGGGAGTTCTTTTGTTCCAAACTCAACTGCCCGGGTTGTGTTCGGGTGAGTTACTCTGTTGATATCCAAAAAATCTCGTGTTCAATGTTTCATAGTTGTCATTAGTCGGGTTTTTACTCAAATCTCTTGGACATTTGGAGTGTGTCTGAACAGGTGCAGCACCTCTCAGACAGGAGATCTGGTGAAGTCTGATAGAGCTGTTGATGGAATCTTTGGATTCGGACAGCAGGGAATGTCACTGGTTTCACAGCTCGCTTCGCAAGGATTGGCTCCTCGAGTATTCTCGCACTGTCTGAAAGGAGAGAACGGTGGTGGAGGCGTACTTGTTCTTGGAGAAATCGTGGAACCTAACATCGTCTTCACTCCTCTTGTCCCCTCACAGTTAAATCCCCTCAAAACCCTTGCAAGATCGTGTTTTTTTCCGATAATGTGTTAGTGAATGTTCTTGTAATAATCTTGTGTCCTGGCTGTGGATTTTCAGGCCTCACTACAATGTGAATCTTCTGAGCATTTCGGTAAATGGCCAAAATTTGGCCATTAATCCATCGGTGTTCTCCACGTCAAACGGGCAGGGAACGATCATCGATACTGGTACAACGCTGGCCTACCTTGCTGAAGCAGCGTATGATCCTTTCGTCGAAGCTGTAAGTTCAATCTTCTCCTACTACTCACTAGTGTGAACATTTTCTCCCAAAGAAACAACCCGAAAGTCCTGAATGTTTTCCCGAATTTCGGAAAGTGATTCCTACAGCTGGAATCCGGCATGCCTGATGCTGCTTTAAACTTCGGATTGCTATGGTATAATGATAGAACCTAAAGGGTTCTATCGAGATTTTCTTGGAATCCGGAGAATCCTTGAACGGAATCGATTGTGTCTGAGGGATTCCCGGTCGGAAAAACGCTTAAGGTTCTATCGTACACTTACATATGTATACTAAATGTATGTGCCCGAGGTTTATCTAGTTCGGGTTCTTAGTGGAACGGCTTGAACTACCTCGGGGATGAAACCGGAAAAACGTAAAGGAATCGATCAATGTGGTTATCTGAAAGCATGTCTTACGATAATTGCAGATTACAAATGCTGTTTCTCAGTCAGTCCGACCCGTTCTTTCAAAGGGGAACCAATGTTACGTGATCACATCGAGGTTCACCCTCCTCCGGTTACCAAGTTTTCTTCGTCTCTTTTCCGGTTATGAGCTCTAATATATATTCTCTTTCGGGTACCCGATTTACCAGCCTTGCAGACATATTTCCTCAAGTTAGCTTGAACTTTGCTGGTGGAGCTTCCATGTTCTTGAACCCACAGGATTACCTCATCCAGCAAAACTCCATCGTAAGTTCCTTAACGTTCGATGATTTCTGTCAAAAAAGTTTCAAACTTTCTCTGTAATCTAATTATGTTTTTCACTTGGCTATTTGATGAGAATCTGCCTTCAAACATAAAACAACTTGTATTCAAACATTGATCATCGGTTTTCCACGTTGTTCTAGGTAGAGGTGGTCATTTCAGGTTTCGGTTTGGTTGTTTTGGTTTTATAGAAACTATAACCATTCGGCTTTTATATTTGATTCGGTTCTGTTTGGTTACTATTCGAGGTCCAATAATTTCCGTTTCATAGAACCTATTTCCATTCTGTTTTTTTTATATTGGATTCGGTATGGTTATTATTGATAATACTCATTTTTCAAAGAAATTCGGTTTTTTTAAATTCGGTATTCGGTCCGGGTTCGATATTTGATAAATTATACCCATTCGGTTTTTTATGTCGGATACGGTTGTGTTGTTTTATAAAAACTAATGTATTCTGTTTTTTCATATTGCATTTCCGGTTTCTATTGATATTACTACTTGTTTTCCGGGTTTTTTGTTATTGTTATTTTCGGTTCGGATTCGACTTTTCGGTTTTAGAAAAATCACACCCAATCGGTTTTTATATCGGATACAAATATGTGTTATTCGGTTCGGATCGGTTTGGTATCGGGATAACATTATCATGGATATGGAAAACAGGGCGGTGCTGCGGTGTGGTGCATAGGGTTTCAGAAGATACAGGGTCAAGGGATAACCATCTTAGGAGGTGGCCTAAACCAATCTTACCACGAAATCATTTTGTCTATGATTAAAAAATTATATCATAATTAGGTTTTTAAATCCATTTTCCGATTCATTTTTTGGCAGATTTGGTTCTCAAAGACAAGATCTTTGTCTACGATCTTGTCGGCCAGCGGATCGGATGGGCAAACTACGACTGTAAGTGTTTTTTTTTTCAAACTCTCCAAATGATGTCTCTTTCAAGCATGAGATGAGATCATCTCATTTAACGAAGTGATTACACGCATTGAAATCATGTCTACGGATTTCGACCCAACCACAGGTTCGATGGCGGTGAACGTTTCAGCGGCAAGCAGCAGCGGGAGAAGCGAATACGTGAACGCGGGTCAGTTCAGAGACAATGCCTCGCCTCAGCCGCGGCCCGGAAACATCCTAACCATCCTCGTCCTCGTCCTCGTCTTTGTCCCCGTCCTCGTTCCTTTATGACACAAAAAAGCAAAGCATCTTACTTGGCCTTAGTTTTATGTACATTGTGCTTCTCCGGTGTGTAATTTTCAGGCAACCGGTGAATCCAAAAAAAAAAAATTTAACTTTTTTCCCCTGTTTTTTTTTACACTCTCCATTGGATTAGTGATTTTACCGTTCTTGTCAAATTACAAGTGTTTTTAGGTATTTAGATGATTTGGTTTTTTGAATGTGTATGTATATATCTTCAATGAAGATACATGCAACTATCTTTGCAATTAAACTACCCTTTTCGTTGTGCCAATTTTTAATTTTTAATTTTTTCATAAAATATCCTTTATGATTTCGTCTTTTTTTTTACTATGGATTTTATAGACAATTACACAATTTAGTAGATCGGTACATTCGACTTATTTGGTCAAATAAAAAAATTGAAATATTAAATTTCTCTTTTGACTATGAATCCGAATATTTTAAATTTAGAATAAACCGTTAATAAGGACTATTATATTTTCAGGCCTCATAAAACTATTATAATATGGTTGTTTTATTATATACTAATTAAGAATATTAACGTTGATGTGTTTCTTATAAAAAGGAATAACATTTTTTTATGATTTTGTTTTTGTCGAATGGAAACATTTTTTTTTTCCTTCTAGACTTTCCCGGCATTGATCTCCTCCTGTCTCTCTCTCTCTCTCTCTTTTTAATTAATAATATCAAAACCCTAATTTGCATCCAATTTTCTCTCCACCTCAGCTACTTACCAGACAGACACCATCATTCCACTGCTGCTCTCTGTTAGGTCTAATCAGTAATTTCGTCATTCCATTTCGTTCGATTCACCCAACTGTTTCATCTTCGATTTACGGTTCTTGAATCGGGTGAAATTCGTCTGGGTTCGATAAATCTCTTTGCTTTTAAGTCAGATTTCTAGGTTCCCAGTGTATTTTTTCCATCCAATTCGGGGTTCCCGACATCTTTTCGACTTTTCCCCTCTCTCTTCCTCGAATTTCTAGTTTTAGGGGGATTTTATCGAGTTGGGTTATCCGGATTTCACTCCCCTCTTCCATTTTCTCGGAATTGCTCTTCTTCTAGGGTTTTCTGATTCTGGGTTTCCGCCAATTTCGTTTCTTTGCCATTCATTCGGTCAAAGTTTACTGTCTTCAAGGGTTTTGTCGATTTGGGTGTCCTCCAGATTCTCTCCCTCAGAATTCGTCATCTCCAAGGTTTCCCTAGTTTCTTCCGACAATGGAGGAGGACAAGAACGGAGGACATCAGAGTGACGTCAGCAACTACTCGTCGGAGGACGAAGGGACGGAGGATTACCGGAGAGGAGGCTACCACGCGGTGCGAATCGGCGACACGTTCAAGGATGGATGCTATGTGGTTCAGAGCAAGCTCGGCTGGGGACATTTCTCCACTGTTTGGCTCGCTTGGGACACCCAAAAATCGGTACGTCACTTATCCAAGTATTTTGGATTGGAGTTGCCACAATTTAGGAGCAGTAATGGGAAAAAGAGCGCGACCTTTTTGTATTGGGTTTTCTCATTTTCAACTTGCTTAATGAAGTTATCTGCTTGGATTTGACTGTAATTTGAATAACTGTAATAGATCGTTCGTCCCTTCTCCAGTGTTTGTTTAGATCTGTTACTTGCTTTAGCCTCAGGTTTAATCCGTTTGTAATGGCGGTTTTGAGTTCCTGCAAGAGATTTTGTTTTTATTACACTTAAGCCTACAGATTTTCAATCTAAGCTTTTGGGGAAACTTGTGTTCTGTTTTTGTTTCTCATCCAACGCGTTGACCACGCAAGAAAAATTCATTGTTTGTAGCGTTATGTAGCTTTGAAAGTCCAGAAGAGCGCTCAGCACTACACGGAGGCAGCCATGGATGAGATCAAAATCCTTAAACAGATTGCAGAAGGAGACCCAGATGATAAAAAATGCGTTGTGAAGCTTTTGGATCACTTCAAGCATTCTGGTCCTAACGGGCAACATGTTTGTATGGTCTTCGAGTACTTGGGCGATAACCTCTTGTCACTTATCAAGTACAGCGATTACCGGGGTGTCCCTCTTCACATGGTTAAAGAGCTTTGCTTTCATATTCTGGCGGGGTTGGATTACCTACACCGCGAGCTCTCTATTATCCATACCGATTTGAAGCCGGAGAACGTCTTGCTGTGTTCTATGATTGATCCATCAAGGGACCCTCGTAAATCAGGTACCCCTATCGTTCTTCCAACAACGAAGGACAAGACCGTTTCTGGGTCAGTCCCGGAACAGGAAACTAAGAGTTACACATACAGTGCGGATTTGACAAAGAATCAGAAGAAAAAGATCCGGAAGAAAGCTAAGAAGGCGGCTCAAGGGGGTCATGGAGAGGAAGCGTCAGAGGAAAATGATAGAGCTTGTGACAATGGAGCAAGATCAAACAGGGATCATACTGTAGAAAAGCCCCAAGATAGTTCTCAAACTAAGAAAGGAAGAGTAAAGCGTGATGAAATCGACGAGAGTGCTAGCAAAAAGGGTCGGAGTAACAGGAGAGGAAGCCGTTCCACGAGGCAGAAGTTACTTGGAGCTGTGGATCGGAAATGTAAATTAGTGGATTTCGGGAATGCTTGTTGGACTTATAAACAGTTCACAAGCGATATTCAGACAAGGCAGTATCGGTCCCCCGAAGTTATTCTCGGATCAAAATACTCAACATCGGCAGACATGTGGTCATTTGCCTGCATTTGTTTTGAGCTGGCCACCGGAGATGTCCTTTTCGATCCTCACAGTGGTGAAAACTACGACAGGGACGAGGTATCTCCATATATACCCTTTATTTGCCTTTGTTTGTTCTGTGGATAGATCGTTCATTCATTTCTGTTGAGCTTCGATTGAGGTTACATGCACAAGCTCAGAGTAACGACTCCGTTTTTAGGATCATTTGGCATTGATGATGGAGCTTTTCGGGATGATGCCACGCAAGGTAAGGATTGGATATACACCGGCTTCCTAGCCAAAGCGATACCGAGGATAATTCTATCACGAAAACATGTTTTCTATGATTAGAATCCGATGATTTTTTGACGGGTTTGGTTTATATGAAACGTAGATTGCATTAAGCGGCCGCTACTCACGAGATTACTTCAACCGATATGGTGAACTAAGGCACATACGTCGGTTAAGGTTTTGGCCACTGAACAAGGTCCTGATGGAGAAGTACGATTTCAGCGAGCAGGACGCGAATGCTATGGCAGATTTCATCACTCCCATTCTCGATTTTGTGCCCGAGAAGAGACCCACTGCGGCTCAGTGCCTTACACACCCGTGGATCAATCCCGGTCCGAAGCTTTTGCAGCCTTCTGGTAACTCGGAACCCGGAGAAGAAGCATCAGAAGAGAAGATAAAGAAGGAAAACAGTGAGAGGGAGGCGATGGAGGCTGGTGTCGGGAGTATAGCCATCGATGCCTCGTAGTCTAAAGGCGTTACGGAGAGATGGTTCGCCATTCTTCTCATGGATGTTCGAACGTAAATACAGCCAAGCTGAGTCGTGAGTCGAGTCAGCTCGTTTTACATCCCGATTCGTTGGTTCATTGCTTGTTTTCTCCGCATTAGAAATGGTGTTTTTACAGGGAAGTGGCTTGTTTTGAGTTCTGATGATGAACTGTACCTGTCGTCTGTGTTGTTTTCTGGGAACTTTGTTTTTTTCTGGTTTGTGATTCAGCTTCTGTTTCCGACAGATCTGAGGGCTCCTCTGTCTTGCCCCTTGAACAAAACTTGGGTATCGATTGCTGATCTCTGGCTTTTCAAAGACACATCTAAATCTGCGGTTTTCGGTTGTATCCAATTTTGGTCTCGATTTTTTCGGGTATATCGGTCGGATTATCCAATTTCGGAGTCGGGTATCTGTGGTATCGGATCGATGAGGCGACAGAGTGAGGTAAGGAGATGAGGTATCAAGAATCAGGGTAGAAGAAAGGCCAAATGGGGTGTGAGGGTGTGTACGGAAATCGCCTCCACGCCCTCTAGGACTCTCGATTTTGATAAAAACACAAGAAATCACTACTTTCTGGTTCGTTGGAGAGAGAGGGTGTCATTAGTACTTCTTAAAGTTAAGGGGTCCTTTTATGTAAATAGAATAGCGTTGAGGCCAAAAAAGTAATAAACATTTTAAAAAGGACTATTATGTAAATATTAATATATAAAATGAGATCTTTATCAACTTTTGAGAATTTTTCTGGGCAAGGGAGAGAAAATCCAGAGCTGCTTCAATGGCGGACGACGAAGGGAAACAACACGGAAGTCAAGAAGAAGAAGAAGACGACGACATAGGAGCAGAGGAAGGAAATGGCGGGCCTGCGCATCATCCGTCGCCGCCGCCTGATGAGGTAGAGGATCTATTTCGAGGTCTCTACCATTTTCATTTTGTTTCTTGCTTATTCTATTTTCATGTCTAGCCATGATTTTGATCTTCGTAAACTGGGTCATTCTCGATATACCTCATTGATTTGAGTTGTGCTTTGTAAAAAGTTAACGGGAGAGGTAAGTAGTTCGGTAGAAGGTTTTAGTGTTTAGGGTTTTCCAAGTAGTGATTATAGAGTGAAATTCGATCACAAATTCTGATTTTCGGGAGATATGTTGCTTAGTGAGAGTGATATGAGTTTGTCTAAATTTATATGTGATGCAGTTGTTCGACCTTTCAACTACTGTTGATCCAAGCTATATAATCTCATTGATAAGAAAACTCCTTCCAAATGATTCAAGCAATGGAAAACGTGACCAAATAAGTGAAGAACCATTTCACCGGAAAATGGGTGACGATCATGTCGATAAAAGTTTGGTACCCGAGTCTGGAAGTGGGTTTTCCGACACTTTTGATGGGTCTCCAGAAAGCATGGACAAAGACATTGGAGGTAACAACGATGAATCAGCTTCGGAGAGAGACGGGAAAAAGCTAAGAAAATCATCAGTGGAAGAGGCATGGGAAGAGCACGGTTGCGTATTGTGGGATCTTGCTGCTAGTAGAACTCATGCTGAGCTAATGGTACTAATTTAATCTACACTGTTATGCCTTCTGAGATTTGTTTCTTTTGTGTGGTCTTGAATTTTATTGTTATTGTGGTGGCCAGTTTTAAGGAGTTCTAAGATAAAGTTCGTATCCTTCATCCGACTTTTGAAGTTGCTACTCTTTTTCATAAGAAATGATGGCAGATAGGCAAAATTTACTTACCATTTAGTGGTTTTGACCGAGTTTCTGTAGTCTGATATCTAAAGCTCTCATTTTTAACAGGTTATAATTATTTGATTTTTCAGGTGGAAAATCTAATCCTGGAAGTGCTTTATGCAAACCTCATGGTTTCAAAATCGACACGTGTTACAGTAAGCCACTGATCACATTATTGTTCTGGAATCCGTTTGGTTATAGAGTTGAGTTGTATCTAGAATCCTTTCTATATCAGTTGCTAAGTGATTTCTTCCTGGATACAACTGTTCTCTTTAGTTGATTTCTATGTTTACTATTTGTTCGTATTTTTTCATATCTTTCCAGGAAATCTGTCTGGGGATTATCGGAAATCTTGCCTGCCATGAGGCACCCTTGAGGCGTATAGAATCTACAGATGGACTCGTTAATGCAATTGTCGGGCAGTTGTTTCTTGATGATACCCAATGCCTAAGTGAAGTTTGCAGGCAAGAAATCAGTTTGTGCCTTTGTTGCATTAAATCTTGATTCCTTCTGAAACCTCAGTACAGTCTGGATTGTCTCTTTCCTGAATATTTTCCTTTTAGTGCATAAAGAATAACTCTGTTTTTTAAACAGTTATCTTCCTGGTTTCCTTAGGTTGGATAGTCTAAGTGTCTAACAGATGGTTCTCAAACAGGATTTTGACTTCAGGTCTTTATGGAGCTCAGTGCACTTTTTGGGCCGAGTCCTTACAGTCTGAAGATATTCTTCAGCGTCTTTTATGGATTACCGAGAATACATTGAATACTCAGCTTATTGAAAAGGTACCTACATTCGTATCTTTAGTGATTTTTGCACTAGTTCAAGTTCTGGGCGAAATGAAGCGCTAGAAAGCAGCTTTGAAATTCTTTCTTACTTGTCTATTTTGTCCTTCCTCTTGTCCCTCTACTGTTTTCCTTGTATCTTGTTTTCTTTTCTTTTTTTTGGTTTAATATTTTTTCTGTTTGTTTATCTGTTAAATGATTTCCATTTTTTTGGTACAGAGTGTTGGGCTATTATTAGCCATCTTAGAAGGTCAACCAAGCGTGCAACATTTGCTGATTCCTCCTCTAATGAATTTGGGTTTGGCAAATCTCTTGATCAATCTTTTCTCTTTCGAAATGGACAAGATGACGGAGAGAATACCTGAAAGGTACGAAAGGATAGGAAGACGGTCATACCAAAACGATCATTAGGTGTTAGTGAACGCCAATCTTTTTAATCCTTCAATGTCATTCATGTAAAGAAATAAAGGCAAGTCCAGTGCTTTTATGGTAATCTCGTGGTGCATAATTTCAGGTACCCTGTTCTTGATATTATTCTCCGAGCTATTGAAGCCCTTTCTGTTATAGATATCTATTCTCGGGAAATCTGCTCTAGCAAAGAAATTTTCCAACTAGTCTGTGATCTTGTGAAACTTCAGGATAAAGCCGAGGTGGTTTAACTTCAGTAAAAAGCGGTGGTTAAAGTAGATCTGAGCTTGTAATATTGATATATAAAATGTTTTACTGTAGGTATCGACATCTTGTGTTACTGCTGGAATTTTAGTTGCTAACATGCTGTCCGAAGCAGATAACCTGGTTTCGGAGGTATCTCAAGGTACTCCATTTTCTTCTATGCCATTTCGATCAATATTAGTTCTTTAGATTGTGACAACATTTTGAACTTGTTCCAAACTTTTAAATACCGATATTTTATTTCGAAACTCTCTGACGGGTCATACATGGCATGGATTTTTTCAATGGGAGTGGGCATGAGCTTGTGTTTCACTCTTCGTCTAGTGATTGATATCCATATCTGACACTTTGAGTCTATGCAAACAGATTTTTCTTTCTTAGAAGGTGTTTTCAGTATTCTACCATTTGCCTCGGATGATATAGAAGTAAGGAGAGCTCTCTGGAACGTTATCTCGAGGTTACTCGTAAGAGTAAATGAATCTGAGATTACCATATCTTGCTTACATCGGTACGCAATGGTTCTAGTAAGAACTTCTGATATCATAGAAGACGATCTTCTCGACCTCCAACCCGACGAGCCAAACGAGGAGCTGGAGAGCTCGGTATCTCCCGAGAAAAAGCCGACCGCCCGGTTTATAGCAGTATCCTTATCATCTATATTCCCTTCCTTTCTGCGTTATCTTTTATAGTTTCCGGGTTATCCTTAAGCTTTTGTTTCAAACAGATTCGGAAGGTTGTGTGTGTGTTAGACAAATGGAAAGTTAACAAGGAGAGTATAGAGGAGGAAAGCTTGAACGGCGGCTGCTCTGTGAATGAAGTGGACGTCGAAAGACTGTTAGGTTTCTGTCGCAGATATGTCGGGTAAGTTTTGCAATTATCTCACTCAGCAGCAGTTCACTTTTCGCTGGATTTTTTTTTTCTCTTTTGATCCATAAAATCTATATATACATATATATATATTTATATATAGTATTGTCCAGATCTTGTTCGGATGATTACAAAAGTTTTGAATCCAAAATCCTTGGTACGTTTTTTTTTTCCGTTCAGATATATCATATTTCACTTTGGGCTCTTATAAAAGGCCCAAAATAATTACTTCATTTGAGCTTTTCTTAAAGGCCCAGAGAATAATTTCTTAAGATCTATTTTTTTTAAATAAAAATTAAAACCGAACCGAACTGATTAATATATAGTTTTGTAAAACAGAAAGAAACGAATCGAACTGAACTGAATATCGAAATGTCGACCAATTGCCTCCATAAACGATTTATAAGAGGCACTTCGTGTCGGCGTCGCTTCCTTAGACCAACAAAACATGCTTAACGAAGAATATGTGGAACTAATATTAAAATTATGTTAATATATTTTTTTTAGATTAAGACTATCCAGTTTCTCCGTTAAATGATTCTTTTTACTGCTAGTTGTTGTCTTATAAATAAATAATTACCAAAGAGAAGTCTTGATTTGCGCAACTTGGTTTTGGATTAAACTCTCACAATTTTATGTTGATATTTCGCCGAAAATTGGTGCCTTCATTCAAAGTTTTGTCAAGATTTATGTACTCATATTACTTTTTTTAACCAAAAAAAAAATTGATATTCTTTTTTAACTAAATTAAAATTCATTTAGATCAAATGTTTTTGGGCATTTGCAGTTCACAGTGATTTTCCCTAC